CGTATCAAGCCTTCCTTACGAGGAAAGTTCCCGGGAATTACAACGAAGCGCGCTTCATAGCTTTTAACATGATAACCATCTCCACAGATGTGCTGATGTTTTTCCTTTCCTATTACGGCACTAAGACGTACTACAAAGACATTCTTGTAAGTGCTTTCTTGATCGTGGCAGATACTGTCACGATCACGTGTATGTTTTTACCAAAAGTTTACGTGATCGTGTTTCGTCCTCAGAAGAACGTGGACTCCAGATCGACAGTCAGCCTGGGAGCTTTTGATACTGACGATGACGAGGGGCAACTCGACAGGAAAATCAGTAGCAGGTCGAACACGTCAGTGCTCAGTTCTTTGTCAACTCTCAGCGGCAGCCAGATAGAAACGAGGAATAACGTAACTTACCACGAAAACAATCTAGAAAGTAGAAGCAGAAAGATATCATCGGTTCTTACGAACGGTGATCTCCACAAATCCTGGAACTCAGATGGATGTTGTGAGCGTCCTGAAGTTGAATCACGTGATTCAAATTTGAGCGTGCGCACTGTGCGATTCGAGGACGAAATTGATCCTGATTTGATGACAGATACTCCAACTTTTCACGACAGTTTTCCAGAGCAGTTTGAGTATCGACGCAGGGAGTCGACTATCTGAGCTTACTTCTGTCGTAAAGACAGAGATCTTAACCTGGTTGATTGTCATCGATTTTGAAACTGACTATTCACCCATCTATCCAAGTTTTTGTCTTTCCTTTGTTTAATATACTTTCTTCGTCAGTCAGTCAACTATTGGCCAGTCCAGTCATTCATCCAGCCAATTTTTCTTTTTTAGTAAGTCAGTCGGTGGGTCGACCGGTCGGTCGGTCTATCAGTCAGTTAGACAGTCTGCCAGTCAGCCAGTCAGTTGGTTAATAAGTCAGTTGGCCAGTCCATCAGTCAGTCATTTAGTTAGCCATTCGGCTAGTCAGTTAGTCGGTCGGTCAGTGAGTCAGTTAGTCAGTCCACTAGTTAGTCAGTCAGTAAGTCAGGCTGTCAGTCAGTCGGTCAGTCAGTCAGTCAGTCAGTCAGTCGGTCAGTCAGTGTCTCAGTCAGTAGGTCAGTTGGTCAATCGGTCAGAAAATCTGCTGAGGTGCGTGTAATTTACCAGAAAATTCAAATCGAAACTCAGCCGTTGGTTTGTCTCTTTAATTTCTTGTCGAACAATGCAATGGTTGATGGGAAATTAACAGTAAAGAGGAGTATAAAGTGAATGACCATCTGACCAGAGTTTTCCCTCTCTTCAGATCGCTGCCTCATTTCATTCGGCCATTGATTGTTTTGTCCTAGAAACTTCCTTAGAAGCGGATATCTCTTTTGACAGAAATGCACAGTGGATGCTTGTGACAAAATAAAGTGAAAAGATTTTAGATTCGCATGGAGTTTCAATCATGATCTTTATACAGTAATCTAAGACTAAAATCCTTGATTGTAATTCGAAGAACAAGCATAGTCGCACTTTAGCTGACAGTAACTGGCAGTCTTCGCTGAATAACAATTGCCGAGGACAAATATTTAGTTTCGGTTGTTTACCTAAAATTATGAATTCGTCTTCATCGGTTGACGGGTAAACGTAAATCGAATAGAATTCCTTTTTCACTAGAACAATTATTAGTGGTCAAAGGGTTTTTTTGTTAGCTGATTTGATCTGAACAAGCGAATGGCAAAGAAAGTTGGGAGTAGAAAAGATCGTCTTGTTAACAATGTGATCGCAAACGAAAAGGAAGACCATCTGCTGAACTCGAAGCTTGCGGCTCTGGACTTGCAAAAACAGAAGGAAATGGTGCGTTGGGAGACGGAGAAAAACAAACTGAGCTTACCAAGTCTCAAGGCAAATGGTAGAATTTCACCGACCCCTCCATCTTCCCCGAACACATCTCCAACACGTAGCCCTGTATTACAGCGACGGAGAAGCGATCTGATAGCCTCAGAAACTGCGTTGAGACCTCATAGCCAAATGATGATCATGACTGAAGGTGTTTGTTTGCGTAGATCCAAATCCTCACAAGACATCAGGCTTAGCGCTGGTCCAAAGCCTCCTCCCTATCCTGTTTGCGGACGTCCAGGAGCTGTAAGTCCACGACTTCTTCATAGGAGATCGACAATTGCTCAAAGCCGTCTGCAAGACGAGGAAATTGCTCTCAGACAAGCCTGCGCAGAAAGACGATTCTCAGCTGGAGTTGTCCCTTCCATTCGCGTGGAAGAAAGCGCGGAATCCCTCCATCAAAAAGTTAAGAGATTCAACGAAAGTCTACAAAAAGCAAGCAAGGAATCCAACCGAAGCGAGAGCAGCACGAACTCAGGTGACGACGACTCACCACCGACCGAAGAGTTATTGATCCCACTTAAACCTGTCACTTTCAGGTCGAAGTCATTACCGAATATAGTTCCGATGCCCGGCGAGAAATCAGCAGAAAATATGACTTTTTACGAAGACATGAAGAGATGCAGGTATTTAAGGATTCCCGATATACCACCGTTGAGTATTGAACAAATCTTTGACAAAGATTCAAAGGAAAAAGCTGCACAAAAATAATCGAGACCTACGGCTACCTTAGAACCTGAAAAAGATCGTAAAAAGGATAGTAAATTATAAGAAAGGTACACGATTGAGATGAATATCAAACATCAGGTTCTTATCTACTTGACGCTAATAAAATGGAAACCTCCTGGAAGTTGCCTTGCCAACCTTCTAATGGTTTTTTTTCAAAATGCAAAAAAACAGTATTGATAAATGAAGGCACGAATGTTTTTCTAGCAAATTAAAACAATTAATTTCTCAACATCTTTAGTTTTCTTGTGCTTTTGCACCATAAAATTTTGCTATTGCTACTTTAAAAACGTAAAAGAAATGTCGACGATTTTGTCACATGTGCCTAATATGGCATTCCAACATGTAAGCCATTGATGGCGACGACGAAATACGTGCGTCTGAGTAGATTATAATGTGTATTATTTGACCGTTCAGCAGCCTGGATCGGAGCATGAGTTAGACGATAACCAGCTCGTTAGAGCACCAGCTGATTTCGTAATTATACTAAGTTCTTAGTCGGATTCTCTTGTTCTGTGAAAAAAGCGTTTTCTTTTTTAGTATTTACAGGTAAGCTACTCGAGTTCAGAGTCACTGAAGATCTTTTTCGCCTCGAAACCTTTGCAATATTTATCCTCACGAAAACAGTGCAGAAACCTTTCTCGCCCAAGATCCATAATGACTTCAGTAATTAAAAAATTAATGTGCGCCGAATTCACCTCGGAAAAAAACGATAAATGAATTAGTTGTCAATTTAAAATGAAAATGAATGGATTAAATATATGTGTTGCCGGAATAGTCCTAGGTCTCAATAGTTATAATCATTTTCAAAGAAAGGGCATGGTCTTCTTATAGAGCTGAATATTATAAGATGTTGAACCTTTTGGTGTTGTTTTGCTGCCATTACCCAAATGGTTCGATGCATATGTTTGGGCTTAAGCAACATAATGATGAGTATTTTCCACAAGTGAAAGTATTGATTGAAAGCATGTTAAGTGGCAATTTCTTAACAGTGGACCAAATGACAGTCTTTACAGTGCAATCTGTCCCAGATGGGCTCTAACACGCAAAGCGAACTCTTAAGCGGAGGATTTCTGGGGAGTAAACCGAGTCACTTCTTACATTTGTCTGTTTCTACTCGTCGCGACTCAGTCGACTTTTGCTCACTGAACTTCAAAAAACCGTCAGTAACGCAGGCTATTTGGTTTGCCGTCGCGTGACTCTAGCTATAAATAGGCTTTTCTGCTCATTATTTTTAAACCTGCCGCCGTGAGTAATCCGCTTTGCACCTTGTTTCAACACACCGCACTGACCTCACTAGGCTCATTTCCGTGATCAGCCTGTAAGAATTTTGCGTGCGTGCTTTCCTGTTTCGCAACCTAATTACCTGTGCTGATGCTGGGTAATGTGAAGACCGTCGGAAGTACAAAGAAAGGTGCCGGGGTTGAAAAATAAAGATTGAACAGGGATTTCAGCACTTAATACAAGGTATATGCCTCATACCTCTTGTGTGCTACCTGTCAGGTGAATTCATTTGCCACGTACGCACTTTCTCACTGACTTAACCTACAGATGTTGAAAGACAGTCCTCTCCAACAAACCTTGAAACAAAATGGACATAATGGATTTCATCAAGCTTCTTCGTCGGACGGCAGACCGATTAATCGAGATTCAATAACACTTCATGAAGCTGATTTAGCTACAGAACGTTAAAAATAGCTCATCATTTTCAGGGTGCACGTTTTTGCCTTTACTTAGCTAGCCATGATTATCGAATGTTCCAGAGAGCTTTGGCAAAACACGTTGCCGTAAAAACTTGTTTATTCAAGAATTAAATTCACATGCCAGACGATGAGCTTCGCGTTATTGACCTTCACCCCTTAAGCTGCTTCGTTTAATTTAGTCTTATTCAATTGTCAACAAGACTTCTACGAGCAAATCTTTTCTGTAGAGTAACGACGGACTTTCATTTTCATTCAAAGAGTTGGTGGGCACAAGCAGACCCTCTATCGAATCAGTGGAACTGAAAAATGTTTATATAACATTTATTGGCGAAACAAGGGGACTAAGATAATTTAATAACCACACCTGGAATGCTTAACGCAGCTTGATTGCTTTTAATAGCCATGATGTGCTTATTAAATGATATAAAATTCATACAATTTATCCTTTAGAACCTTCGTCAGTGTTTTAATTTTCCATATTATTCTCTGTAAATCTTCTATGGTCCTTACAAGGAAAATTTGTTGAACAGCCAGGAGCCTCTTAAGGAGACGATCATTTCTTTCATTCCTCATGATCTTAACGTTTGATTCAACAGCGATGCTGTAAGGAGAAATTAGCTGCTTGTCACTCTTAAGGGGTTAGAAGGTTAAATTAAACAACGTAAACCATTTACCTTGTGGGCCTCAAGCGTGGCGGTGAAAGCAGCAAATTCACTGTACAGTCTAAGCAGACTTGAGTGAAGGAGGATCTTTGCATTTTTAAGGTACGTTTTGCTGACATCTTTACTCTAATTAACAAAAAATGTCGTCATTTCTCGCAAGCTTTTGATAGAGATTATTAAGCAATATACGTACTTTTGTCGGAAGCTTTATGGTATCCGCAGGCATTCATTCTTCGTTACGGTAAATGCCGAGTTTGATCAGATTGCAAATTTGTCCAAAACCTGCCCTTGGTTCATTATCATCGGTGCTTAATTTTATTCGCGACTGTCGCTAGTGAAAGCGCTAAAATTATACCAAAATGCAACATTAGATTCACAATATATCAGCAATTTTTAATCGCCGGAACTGCATCAAGCAGATAAATGATAGCGTGAGTATTTATCTTGCGAGTTCTCCTCTGTCTGAAGCAAGACAGAGTATGTTTCCATTAGCTTCTCTTTTCTAAACTCATTGAATTAAATAGCACACTTTGCTGTTCACATCCTTCAGATTTAAAATTCCATGATTTAATTCTGGTTTTGTTACGTGACCCTGGCCCAACTTAGACAGACATGTTACAGCTCACGGCATCAGTATGCTACCTGGGTGTGCTCATTATTCCGACATTTCGCATGTTAGTAGAGGTCTCTGCTGCAGTGAATATACGCATCGATCTCAGATTTAGAGCCGGCAAACGCGCTTGCATGAAGTTCGAGAAACGCCGAGAAAAGCCGAGAAAAGCCGAGAAAAGCCGAGAAAAGCCGAGAAAAGCCCTGAAACCATCCGAGAAGAAGCAGATGGACTATAGCATTGTAACTCATCGGCTGAGACCAAAATTATCCTTTTTTAGCAGTGTTATATGTAAGAGGCTCCAAAACAACCAAACATGAGTTGAACATTGATTTTAGCGGGACAGAAATCGCAAATGTGTTTGGAAAGATAAAGTAGACACGTGTTATTCTTGACTTGTTTTTCTTAAGGCGCTGTGTAGAGTATTTTTGACCCTTGAGGGCTCTGTATATCATCCCAAAATAGGTTTTTAATCATTTTTCCGGATTGCGTTGTCATGTGTGGGAATATTGATGTCAATTATTTTTTTTATTAAAGGAAAATTATGAACAATACCAAGGTTTCCGTAGATAACGTTTTCAAACTGTTGTCGTGTTTTAGGTGACCATTAACTGTGACACGTGTCGACATTAGCGATAAAATTAGGGTCGACAGTGCTCGCATTTCAAAATAAGCTTATTTGAGTAGACAGGGATAACGCGTGAGTATCGTTTAACACTGGCACATGTTGACTTAGAGGACACATGCATGACTTAATAGTGGAGGATCGAAAACGGGAATTGGTGATATTTTCAATAACAATTACAGTCCAGTGTTTCAGTGCCGGTTTCTCATTCGCTTGACAAAAAAATAAAGAAACGCTACGTCAGTCGAAAAACCGCTCAAAATAATTTGCATGATCTAGTGAAAACTCCATTAATCAGTAGCATTTACTAACACAACAACTTCCCAACCCTCTCTGTGTACTAATAGTTCATCCTCCACCCCTCCTTCAGTAACAACAGTCTGCCTCCCACCCCTCCCTGAGAACTGATAGCCTGTACCCCATCCCCCTCTTAGTACTAATGGCCTGCCTTCCCCCGATAAAATGGTCCCAAAAATGATCGTGATAGAGCTAGGTCTCTAGAGTACATATGGGGAAAAATAAAGCCAAATACAGGAAATGATAATTCTTAGCATTTATTAATATATGACAATTACTGATTTGTTTGATAACATGCAAACACAACAAAAGGTGATATAACAGGTGTAGACAGAGAAGTTATCGTTGCCCAATTCCTCACAGCCCACACACTTTAACTTTATTTGTGCAATTCGTTTTTCTCTACCTACCTTTGTATAATATTTTGATTTGGCCTGCAGTTAGCAGACACTTATCAACTCATAATTAAAGGGGTAAGTTCCTAAAGAAACTGTGGTGCTGCGTCGGTGGGAAAGTATAGCAGGTAATTTAGTGTTAACAACTGAGCTGAAAACGTAAATTAGCCACCGTAAAGGGTAAAAAAGCTGACGTTTCGTCGCTCTGACGAAGGGCTAACGCTCGAAACGTCAGCTTTTTTACCCTTTACGGCGGCTAATTTACGTTTTCAACTCAGTTGTTAACACTAAATTACTTATCAACTTAGACTCTTTCAGAAATTGGAAAGAGATTTCGTTTTCTCTCGAGTCTTTGCGAAGTATCGAAGTCGTATTGTCATTGTCTCTGAGAGGGCTTATTGTAATTTGCGAAGCGAAACAAAGTGAAAAAATGTTTTAGGGTGAGATTAACTAAAATCGGTAAAATCGATTTGCGAAAGGTAAATACTTCATTTGTGAATTAGAAATCTGTAATTTTCGAAAAAGGCAACTCTGTTATTTGCTCTTGTGTGGATTCAATGAATGCAGTGGCTATATGAAAGCAAAATTGCGCCCTTAAACCATAGAAGGCAAACATGTCATTTGAAAAATTATCTAGCGCTGAAGCTGTGCTTTAACCTTCCATGTACTCAAGCGTGTCTTCATTGTATTTAAAGGGGAAAACTGTCAATCTGAAAAGAGAGAAAATTGCTTTCTACGGTTGTACCAACAACGATTTTATACGTTAAAGGTATAAACTTTAAAATTGCGATAGCGCTCGTGAATTCTATGCTGCTAAGTTAAGGCCGGCTAAGGACCGGAAATTCTGTGATCTCGTCTGATAAGATCAATGACAAAAGGAAGATAGATAAATTTAGTAATAGTTTACCGTAAACACAAAGGGAAACGTGAAGCAACTGATGGTGCACAAGTCGACTCTTAAGGCACACGCATAACTCAGCAGTGGACCAAAAAATAATCCAAAAAAATTGGTCCAAAAAATTTTCCAAAAAATAGTCCAAGTGTCCAATGGTCCAGTCCATGTTTTTCAATGCCAAAAATATCTGTTAGTTGGTTCTGGGTCATACTCGTGACTTCTTAAATTATCAAGCCGGATATTGTGGAATGAGTGTGATGCTGGATTTGGGAAACAAGAAAGAGAGGCTGAACGAAATCCTGTATTTTTCAGGGGTGTGGGGAAGAGAGGGAGCGAGCTCTCTTTGAAATCGAAGGTTTACTAAACAAGCAGTTATATTTATCATTAAATCTATGTTTTATGCCCATTATCTGATCGTCAAAAAAGCCAGACTAATGAGATCTCAACTGTTAATGGGAACAAAGAAAAATTATCTACAGATTTACTCAAGCCTAAAGCGGAGCTCCAGAAAGTTAAGTAGTTTCTGTGTAAAAATTTATGGACTAGTTATCATTTGCGTCGACAGGAGGGGAGGAGGGCAGGGGGAGAACTTGAAGAGTTGATGATATTTTTTAAATACTAGAGGGGCGGCCTTTTTTGTCCAAAAAAGAGTGAGTTGTTTCATTTCTAACAGTTTACTGGACAGAGGGAGTGAATGTCACAATGGTAATAGTGTTTCAATAGTGGTCAATCTTAAAGCGCAAAAATTTTCAAATTAAGCCGAAAAAAAGGTTATAATTAATCATCATTGCTACTTGACCCCCCCCCCCCCCCCCGAGTAAATGCGTTTAGGGACAATGAAAATTATTCAATAACTTTTCAAAACAATTGAATTTAATTCTGTAAACCGCAAAAGAAAGAAAGTAATCGTTAGCCGTAACATTACTTTAGCTGTTGACCATAACAGCCATCAATCTATCAAGACCCTCCAATAATGAGCACACGTTTAGAACAAATATTCAAATGATGACGGCATAAATCAGATCGCCTTAAAGGGCGGCGCGGTGCCAGTTTTTGTGACAAACTAAGGAGCGGAGTTCGGCAAAGCTAGCACAGACAATCTCAGATAACTTTTGACATTCAATTGAAAAATTTTCTGATAAACCGTTGTTTGCACAGATCTAACCATCTTACAACAGTGTTTCTTTGCAAAAGTCGACTGATATTTAGCTAGCAGCCTCGATAGCTTTTTTGAGACACTCTAGGAAACCTCTATTTTAATGTGGTTCTGTATCCAATGTAGAATCAAATAACTACAAATCCAGTCCAGGGTATCGGTTCTGCATAAACGGGTGGTAATGGCCTGACGCCAGATGAAACACGTGCAGCATTGCGAATCACTGACCCTTGGATATTATTTAAAAAAAAACAAAAAAACCATTGAAACTTTGTTAATTTCAGCGCGTGGGTCAGAAGAGTCTTTAGCGCTGTTGTCGCTTAGTGCACGAATATTTACTCCATAGAACCACGACAAATGTCGAAGTGAGAACCGTGTCCAGTTAAGAAGCTAAGATCACGTGAAATAGGTAGGTGCAAGTTATTAGTCTGTCTGAAGACTTTTACAAACATGAGTCGATTCTCAAATTACGCCTTGTAAGCCCCAGAAACTGCTCAATAGACTCTATTGTGAATACTTGCTGAATCGTGTCTCTAAGGGCATGTCGAATTTAAGTAGTAAATAGAAAAGTTCGAGTTGAGAGTTTGAAATTATGTAACTTTAATAGCCGCAATTTTGGACAGTTGGACACCGCTTTAGTTAGGATGCCTGTGTCGTGAATTAACTCTCTGGTGTGACCACAACTAATACTTTACAGATGGCTATAGAAAACCCATTGTGTTGCAAGTGGATTCGTTTCACAAACAACCACATAGCGAGATTTTTAAAGGAATCCTCAGCTACATCTCACATCTTCATCTACCAGTGTGCAACAAACCACGCACGCACATATACCTGGGAGTTTATTAAATTGGAGACCACAAAGAAACTCACAAAAAAAAAAACTGGATAGAATATTAACCTCTTTGAATTTTAGGAAATGCAATTTGGAACCGGTGATGAACTATTCTTCAAATTCTGAACAGGCACTATGAGATCCTTTACGGCAATAGGCGCGATGTTAGCAACTTTCTGTCCAGGAGGATAAATTTTGGAAACCTGATCAGACTGAGTCATAACAGTCACTAATTAATCTCAATGATTATTTCGCAATAATACCTAACATTCGATACGCGATTTCCAGCCTTCGCACAGAATCTATAGTCAAACTGCTGACATTTCGCCCTCAAAATGGGATAAAACTTATTGAACTTAAGCCGCACCTTGTGGAGGAGTCGTGATCGACTTCTTTAGTCATTATCGTTGTTTTCGTTCCGCTGCACAGTCTCTTTAGTTACCCAATTTGCATTTGTGTCGGCCACCATTGGCAACAGTGTTTTCGAACTTCATCTATGGCCACAAAACTCAACACTTCAAGTGAAATAAAATGCAGTTTGGTTTCAACCGAATCGGACGCCATATGTACACAACACAAACGTATCTGTAAACCAGCTAAACGGCGGAAATACTGACTTGATGGCAGATGGCCTTTTTAATCTTTAAGTAGTCATTCTATCACTCCACGCAGGCGGCATGGTTTTTCTTACAATACACCTTTGAAAACCCACGCAGTCATGTAATCTTCATATTTTTTTTTTTAACGAAAACTCAGCCTTATTGATCTTAATTATTTGAATTTTTCAAAATTCAGGGTTTTTTTGTTGGGGGCCGCGTGGAAAGAACAAGAGAAAAAACTGTGAATCACTAGCCGAAGGTGAGAGATTTAGAAAAAAATTTTTGAGCGTTGTCCCAGAATATCAAATAGGTTACATGTTGGTAAATATAGAGAAACTGCGGCCTATTGATTTTGTAAAATAACTGAGAGCTTGTAGTGCCGCAGACGGTAGCTTTCGATCACTCGCAGCGTACGTCATTCCTCCAGCGCTGGCCCCGGTTCTTTCATGGTGTAAACAGTAGTGTTTTTCAGTTCAGAATTTAAATGGAGAATCGAAACTTTGAGTTCTGTTGTTTGAGAGGCTGCCGTAAGCAGTCGTCCAGGCTTGAAATTAAAACTTGGTTTTGATTTCTTTTTTACATACCTAAGGATAACTTTAATTGATGTTTATATTACTTCAAAAAACTGAAGAAAACGAACATTTTTACTTTAGGACAGCTTACTGAGCTATGGCTGAAATTAAGTCACAACTGTACGCTAAACAAAGGTTAAAAGCCCAGATCAGTTTTCCTAGACTGAAATTATAAAAGATTTCAGTCAGTGAAAGGATGACGGCAGGCCAGCTGCACATTATAAATGATGACACCTTTCATTGTTCAGAAGACTTCTGACTTGTTCAATCATTTTGTGACATATTAAGTTCTGCTCTTTCACTCAAACAATTGATTTAGGACCAGGAGACAGCAAGACTAAAGAGTCTAATGTCTTGCGGTTCAATTGCTACCATGATTTAAGATGTACAGCTCATAACATTTGCGCAAAATCTCCATCGTAACCACTTTAATGTTTTACGGAATAAGAATTAGTACTGATGGTAAAGAAGCTAAAATTATGAATCCAATAATGCGGGCGAAAAAGTTAAAATTAATAGAATCAAAAGTGCAAAGGATATCTATATAGTGCTAAAACAAACACACTTCAAAAATAAGCTCTTGCAAAGTCTTGACACGCGTCAGGTGCTGTTTTCGCCGATTTAAGTCGAGAAATTTCCATTCAAACATTCATTTATTTTGGGTTCTAGAAAAATATTAACAACATCAGGCTGTCATTTCTTAAAAAGCTTATGTCGCAGAGGCATGTAAAATTAAGTACTTGTTATTTCTAAAACCAAAATCGTTCTTGCGATGGGGAAAGTTCAAAACAACTTTCCAAGGAGCCCTTTGCAATGGTTGAGTGACGTCACGCGTCAGGTGCTGTTTTCGCCGATTTAAGTCGAGAAATTTCCATTCAAACATTCATTTATTTTGGGTTCTAGAAAAATATTAACAACATCAGGCTGTCATTTCTTGAAAAGCTTACGTCGCAGAGGCATGTAAAATTAAGTACTTGTTATTTCTAAAACCAAAATCGTTCTTGCGATGGGGAAAGTTCAAAACAACATCCCAAGGAGTCCCTTTGCAATGGTTGAGTGACGTCATGATTTAAATAATTTTCTGGATCGTGAAAAGTGACTATAAAAATAAGACACTCGAAACGATTTTCTCTTTGTATGAGAACGATTTTATAGAGAATTTATGATGTATCCACTTGGTATAGACACAGTTGTAAAACTGGAGTTTGACGACAAGAAAAGACATCCTCAAAATAAATTTAATAATTGTCGTTAACCCCACGACGTACTTATGAATTTTTAGGGAATTTTTTTTTAACGGATGTAGAAAACTTAAAAGGAAGACTGCATCAAGTTTAATCTTAGTTGGACACGTTGTTTTCGTTCTCTTAATTGAATGTAGAGTGATAAAAGGCAAAATAGATTTAAAATTCACTTAAATGTTTTATAGATTCAGAGACCATGAATACAATGAACTTATGCCAGGTGGCTTAAATGCTCATCATTTTGAATTTGCATTTTTTATGTGGTCAATTTTAGTCTTCTTTCTTTGTTTGAAAACATTACTTTGCAATCTGTTATATACAAGAATTTCACCATTTCTTTAACTCTTTTATTCCCTGGAGTTGCCAAGACAGAATTTCTCCATATAATTTCTATACAATATCAACGAGATAAGTGAGGACAATAGAGAAAAATATAAATCTGGGGATAATTAGTTGATCCAATACTAAATTCTCTGAACTAACATTATAAGAATTGTATGGTGGACAGAAAAGAGAATTACAAATTTGATCTTGGAGTTAAAGGGTTAACTCTTTTATTCCCTGGAGTGACTAAGAGGAAATTTCTCCTTACAATACCAATACATAATCAAACAGACAGGTGTAAAGGGGCATACCACCTGATTTAATACCAAATTCTTAAATTTCGCATCATAAGAAATTTATGGCAGACAGTAAAGAGAATTACAAAAGATATCATCGGTGTAAGGGTCTGTTGAATCCGGAGGTGATCTAAAACATACTTTGAAATTCTCGTGTTTGTGAATCAACTCTTCCAATCAATATTGCATCGGTTTGAGTAAAATTCAATTGCATTTCCCTCGTAATCCTTAAAACACGATGATATGAAGTATAAGCGTGTTGTATTTGAGATGAAAGCTTCTTGGTTATAAAACGTTTGGATCGTGCCATATGCTAAACAGAAAATTCTGAATTCAGTCGTTTATTTACTTATCTCTTAGGGTAGGTTTATCTGAATGGTTTCCTGTTGTGCAGTAATTTGGTCACACAAAACTGATTTGAATAAGCTCTTCCTACCGTCTAATTCAAGTTTTCATTCAAATGGAGTTTGAACTGGACGTCTCTTAGGGTAGGTTTATCTGAATGGTTTCCTGTTGTGCAGTAATTTGGTCACACAAAACTGATTTGAATAAGCTCTTCCTACCGTCTAATTCAAGTTTTCATTCAAATGGAGTTTGAACTGGACGTCACGTCATGTTATCATTATGCCAAATTGGGCTATAAAATCAACGGATGGAGCCGTGGCGTGCGGATAATTCAAGTACAGACTATTTGAATCTAAAAAGCATGGAATTTGTTTTACAGTAGAACTCCCCAGGCGTCATAATCTCCAATAAAAACTACAGTTCTTCGATCGGACTAGGGTCGTGGCTATGTCCCACACAATGCAATCGTTTATTGCCGAATACCTGACCAGATGTCTAAAGCCCCACGCGATGAAAACTGTCCCTTCAGAAAAAGCACAAATTCATTGCCTTAGGCAATCATATGGCTAGGCTTTTAAAAGCTACAAGAAAAGGTGAAAGGAACCGAATAATTTATTTGCGTAGTTTCAACAATCGAAGGGAAGCCGCTAGAATAGCTTTCAACCGCAATAGAGCAGTCCATAGCTAAATTAAAACTTAGCTCTGAGAAAACCTAATTTGCATGCGACACCAACTTGATTACGTTATTTTTCGTGCCCTTCCCGACAGTAAATTGCTTTGCCGCGAAAGTTTTTCTTTTTTTGCAATTGCATGGAGCTGGAATAGTTCTGTAAATCCAGCATTTTTGGTAAACACCTGTTTAAATATCACGCTTAATATTGCATGTTAATTGTGAACATTTCTGGTATGATGCAAAGTGTTGCGGGAACTAAACAGCCCTCATTAGCAAGCTTAGCGGACAACTTGCGATGCGTAGTTAAGTCCTGTTGAAGTTTGCCCCCATTTTTTAGCTCAAAATATATTATACTTTTGTGGTTTCGTGCTGATTTGAAATACATGATTTATGTGGTCGGGAAGCGTTTTGTGTTCCGTTTAAACCAATCGATAGATATTTATAACAAACCTCTTCAGCTTTTAAGTACTACCTTTTCATGTGAGATTTTTGAACTTAAGGACTCGACATGTTATGTTTAAAGTCAATTTGTGCGATTCGTCGATCGTGTGGTGTGTGAATCATCCCTTTGCATTCTGGGTACTAAAAGGATCGATTTTTAAATGTAGTGTACATTAGCACTGCAGTGGGTCAATTCTCTTCGGCGAAAAACTTCCAACTTTCACGCTTGGTCGAGATTGGATCTTTCGGAGTGCTTGCAGATTCGAAGTAAATCAGGAAGTATCATTATTAGGTAAGCCGGCAGTGCTCTTTTAAAAATATGGTCTTTACTGCTTAAATCTTAGTCCAAAAATAATAACCACAAGAAGCAAAGAAACTGGTTAACCTGATTTATCTTGTTCTCGATCTAAATTATAAATTCCTCATTCCCTCTAAGAAGGAAAGTTGGTTCTTCGTTAAAAAAAAAATCTTCTAAAAATTCGTCCGTTTGGATCGTTTTATATACGAAGCCGAGAGTTGGATGTTTTTTTTTTTACCTCAGCTAACATCCATTCGTGACTTCTTTGATTTTGATAAGATCAAATTGAATTGAAACGTAAAATGAGAGTGGAGGGAGGATGTGAAAATGAACCAAGAAAATTTCTGCAATGTGTTACCGTTGCTTTCTAGTAATTATTTTTACACAGTAACAAAATGAATAGAAATTACTCGTAACGAGTCATATTTTTATTTCCCTGGAGCAAATCAAACCCAATATCCATCTAAATCGGTCTGAATTTCTTAACAAACTCAGCTACGTCTTTTTCAATGTCAAGATAGTTGGAAATTTATGGATTAAAATTGAAATTATTTGCATGATTATGACACTGAGACCAACATTAAAAAGAGTATTTCAAAAACTAGAAAATATTTTTTATAAAAGGCTTTGTACCGGATTACCACAAATCATTTCTCCTCTTCTTCTTCCAAACAAAAATTCATTTTCTTTTGTTGTCAATTGTCAATTGTCAATTGTCGTCAATTCGTTCTGTACGTGTTGGCTTCACGTTTCTTGTGCACCTGATGCTAATAAATTGAAAAAACTTCCGTTTCTATACGCTGCTTGATTATTGAATATGATCTTGACGGCTTTTAAAATGATGCCCCTCATCTACGTTTTAATACCACTGCCACAGAGAACTTAAAATATTTTTCTGTCTCAAGGCTGCATCAACCAATCACAAGCGGCTTGGGAATGTAAATAAATCATTTTAAAAACCCCTCACATGTAGGATTTCCTGCTCTTCTTTTTTCTTCAATGAATCAGACAGGTGTTTCGTGAAGAATATTCATCGATTACTACGATCTCAAAGAGAATTTTGTCGTCACTTTCTAGGAAGAAATCAAAAGCATTTCTTAGGGAATTTCACTGAGATACGGCAGAGCACAGGACGCGAGTGCTTACCGTCAAAAGAAAAACATTGCAAGATACAAATTCCCGAGACAAAAATTTTCGGGTGCAAAATGAAATAATTCTCTTCATTCAGACTGACCTTTCAATAAAGATTGTGGGTCGCTGACTTCGATATATATAGTTTATTTTAGGAAATTTTGGTACGTTTTCAGGGGTTTGTTCAGATATATTTACAGCATGGCATTTCCATCTCAAACAAACATATCAAAAATTGAGAACTTGAGTTCTCAGCAAACTTTGGGTAATTGTGCAAATTCCTAACAATGGTATTGGTTTTTCTTTTTGTCAGAATAGGCTATCATCAAACTTTTAAGAAGGTCCGTCTTTGCAAAAAACTGAAAACAACAAAACAAAAAAAGAGATGCCGATCAAATATTTGAATTTCTACCTTGTGGCAGAAATGAGATAATTGCTAGACCTTACAGTCGTTCAAATTTCAATGTAAAACGGCATTGGCCTTAGTCTCAGATATATTTTCTGGGCTTTAAAATAGATTTGAAAGGAGAAAGGAAAATATTTTTGTTTTCTTTGTCGGGTAATACGTTTGATCCAATGATGCACGTGCCGTGACAAAGCCAGAGCAGCTTTTGAAAATATTATGCGACATCACCTTTATCATTAGGAAGGTAAGTGCAGTTTGGTTGTTATTTCCGTGAAAAATATTACAATGCCTGAACAAATAAAACGAGTTCGCTTTAATTTCTTCAAAATTACATTACAAAAAATGTCTACTCAAACTAATAGCATCGATGGACAAACGAAATTACTGTAGAATGATTTCACGATACAAGCACAACAGAATGCAGGTATAATAACAAAAAATACCATAAATTACTTTGGAAGACATCAGTTGATAAGACTTGTAGCTGTTGCTGATAACAAAATTATCAAATAAAACATCACAAATGACTTTGGTAGACATCAGCTGATGAGACTTACAGCTGTTGCTGATAAAAAAATAGTACCGCTTGCTTTTAGCAGTTTGTCAAGGTGCGATTATAATTCCTTGAAAAATACAGCTTTTTTACAAATACTTTAGTAGCTTATGCTGACTCTTTGTCGTCATCCGTTTGCTTCTGTCATACTTTTCAACTGTTTTTAGGCCTGACTTGTTTCCTTTAAGCGCCAGAATTAACTTTTCCGTTTGCCTTTAAAACAAACTTGTATTATATTCCGCAAAGTGAAGATAAGAGACCCGATAAAGTTTGTAAGCACAACATCTGTCAAGTCTCCATACTTCGCAAACATATTTTGATTAGCTGAAAAATCATCAAATATTTTTTACGATTACTCGTTGATCTTCATTCGTAACTTTCGGGGTTGATCCACTAAGCTACATTTGTAATTTGATCCACGTAACCATTTGGATCGAACACAACTTGTACGCCCACGAAAACAGTTCACTAAGAAAGTCTATGTCAAATTGGTTGTTTGCATTCCGTTGCCATAACGTCAGATACAAGCAGCGGTGAAATGTTCCAATGGGTCAACCTCGTTTACAAGCAAGATTCATCCAGATAGTCACACCACTTTGGCCTATGCGTATTCATGCTTCTGAGCATGTTCGTAAGAGGGTTTTGGAAATGGCAATGATCATGAGAAAGGCACAACCTCTCTATAAACGAACGAGATCATGTTTGAATAATTTTTTGGAAACATCAGTCTCTACGGCATGGTCCATACACTCTCTTACAGCTACTGTGAGTGGCAAAAGTAGTTGGCATGTCTTCCCTTATCAGGTGGTCAACAATCCTCAACACAATAAACAAAACTCTTGTAATACATCTGTAATAAGTTATTTGAAAGTCCCCCATTTCCCCAAAAACGTTGCACTAGGCAATAATGAAATGAGGGAGAGGGAAAGACACATGAAAGTTTTAGAAAAAAATTCAAAAAGTAGTGGAGCGTGTAAAGACGTTCGTCATTCATTCCATTATTACCATTAATGGAGAAAACCCGGCGGATCCCTAAACTTTTGGCTAAGGGTTTGAAAAGTGTAGATAAGAAATGTGACATGAAAGATAATGCTCAAGCCCACACAATTCACCAGAGTCGGTAACATTTCATATTCTCAGCAAATTATTTTTTGTTCTCCGGCAGATCAAAGAATGAGCATGGAGGACTTGAATATCAACAAAACAGTTTTTAATGCTTCTTTTATATCGGATTCATCTGAGTCTCCAGAGAACTTTCATCAGTCCCTAGAAGCCAAAGTGCTCCAAGCCACTCTGTGGTCAACTGTGGTATTTCTGGGAATTATTGGCAACATCTTAGTGTGCGCTGTAATCCTTGGACTCCCCAAGATGAAGACATCTATGAACTTTTACCTACTGAGCTTGGCCATCGCAGACTTGGGAGTTTTAACGGTGCTCGTCCCAATAAATGTGATTAGATACTTCATCCCAGTTCGTTGGGTGCTAGGAAAATTTTTTTGTTTGTATCTATCTCCTACGCTGGAGATCTTCTTTGGAGCATCCATCTGGTCGATCACAATCATTGCCATTGAAAGATATCGGAATATTTGTGGTGCAAACCGCTACAGGATCAAGAGCAGGTCTCAAATGAGAACTAAACTGACCGTATTTGGTGTTTGGCTTGCATCGTTTTTAGTTGGAAGCGTTCCTGTATATCCCGTGATGGCCTACAAGCCCAACCCACCAACCTGTCACCAAATATGGCCCAATAGAATGTATCTGGCTTATTCTTTAGCTCTTGTTCTGCTTTGGTATGTTTCCCCTCTTGCTGTCATCGCATTTACCTATCTAAAGATCAAGAAGCGAATACGAGAAAGTGTAGTATTCCGAAACTCGATGTCGATTGTGGATGACGACAAGGCTGTGATCGTATCACCGTCTTCACAAAGCAAGAAAAGACAGGACAAGCAAGCTTTGAATCAAAGCAATAAAACTAGACGTATTCTCACACCTTTGGTTATTTTGTTCGCTGTGACAATGCTCCCTTTGAACGTTTACCGCACTGCAATCCTATTTGCACCAGAGTTTTCGAAAAATCCTTATATTGGCCTGATCTTTGGCCAAATCATATTGTTCGTTGGAGTCAATTCATCTATTAATCCAATAGTGTATTACATTGTCAGTAAAGAGTTCAAAGATGCATTCAAGAAAATATTCCAGAAATTGAGAAAAAAGGAATATTTTTTCAAAACTTTCAGTCTTAGAGGTAGAGAAACATCCGCCACATTGGTCAGGGTAAATATCGGACTAGAAAATAATTGGCCACCAAGCAAAAACCTGGACAGAAACAATTCTAACTTAGAACTTCTAAATGCCAATGTTCAGGTTATCAGTGGAGTTTGAAATCATATTGGCCCTGTATGTGACTTTACATTCCTCATATACTCTTATATTCCTCTTACTACGAACCGAGTACGAGGTTCCATAACTTATAACACTGACCGAGAAAACGAGGTTAGTAATGTGTTTATCAAATTTCTTGGTTCAAATAGAGTGGGGAGATTTAATTCAAACAAACGTTCGAATTTAGCAGGGTGAACAGTAAAATACGGCACGCCAAACTGACCAATCATAGTGCATGTACTAACTGAGAGGTAAAATGCCTTTGTTGATTCAGTGGCATCATGTAACCACAATACTTAGTGGTTAACATTGGAAATCTATAATAAGCCTTAATAATGTACATAACATATCACTAACTGATATTGTATAACTTGTCCTATTAATATATCTCTTTTTTGTTCAGCCAGTTGAGGTTACTGAACGTGATGATGATATAGCGTTGCTTGGATGCATGACCGTAGCACGTGAAACAGTAACGCTAAAGCTCGGTAATTTTAAGAGTGCTAACGACACAACATATCATTAAAAACAAGGATTATTGCAATCGTCTGTGCTATAAAAGTTATGTTATCATGTACTGAACAGGGTTAACCTGAAAAGATTATAAGGAAAGTTTAACAGCTGGGGGTATCTCCTGCATCAAGAAAGCAGTTGTAGGTTGGATCAGAGAAATTTTTCTATCCAAGTGAGTTGAATAAGTGGGAAACTGACGTAGATGGGATGGGTGCCATCTGTGTACACTAAATTGCAAAAACGTTGACATCTAAAAAGCATGATCCATGGACGATGAGACCCAACGGCCTTATGGGTAATGTTCGAGCAAATACATAATCAGTGATTCACTTTTCTTACTATTCATTAAGAACCTTCCAGGGAAGCGAGGATAGCTTCTATCATTCACCGCGTATTAATGGAGGTTATCGTGTTACCATGCGTACCAAAAGAGCCATAAGGTCTCATTGTTCATTGTTCATTGTAAACGCATTTGTAAGTGTCATCGTTTTTGCAATCGATTGCATATAAATGCCAGCCACCTAACCAATATTTTAAATGAAATCCCAGTTTTCTTGAATTATTTTTGTGATGTTACAGGCGATATAACACTACTATAGGCGGCAAGTTTTCTTTGAGTCAGTGACAGTCCAGGACTGTCAGGCAGTGTGTAGCACTGCTTAATATGTATTATCAGCCAAAACTCATACACTTTACGAAACAAAATAAATGTGTACGACTTAAACATATCAAGCCTGCTGAATTCTGTTTCGATATTTCCACTTCAAATCTAGACCTATTTTGATCGAGAATCGCCGAAGAGAATGTCATCAGAAACTGAACGTTTTTAGGTGGGTCTTCGTTATCTTAAAAATTAATGATATCTACTCAGTCTGGCTAAGTTGCTGAGCATTAACGTTTTCTATTTTAGGCGCAAGGGCATGTGGGTATATACTCAAAGCAAAGAAATGAGCCCTTCTTAGTTAGCAAGGTGGAAAAAAGAATAACATTCTGTTTACAAATACCAGATTATTCAAAATTGGGTTAATTGAGTCAGAGAAGTGTTCCTTTTGCGCAATTTACATAGAAGACTTATACCATCTCTTTCATTACTGCTCTTATGTGCGCGCCATTTGGAAGAGGTTTTGCAATTGGTGGTCTAATTTTCTGACTGAAAATTGAAGCTAATCTCTCAAATATGTTATGGTTGGCATTTTAAATAGGAATGATCTGTTAAACTATCAAATAATTCTGGGTAAACTATGTACATGGCACTGTAGAAGAAACAAATCCGTCCCAAAGTTTAATCTGTTTCTACACAAAGTAGAAACTAAGCAGGAGACTGAAAGGCTTATTGCCTCAAGAAACAGGAAACTTCAAGACTTTAGGAAAAGATGGGAACCATCATCATAATATTATTTTATATTGATCTATTTGTTTTATTATTTATTTATTTATTTATTTATTTTTGATACGGCGCGGAGAGAATATGTGGTTGTGATAAGAATACATGAAAGTCATATATTTGTACTGCGGCAAATACATTTTAAGCAAATGAAGATCATCGCAGTATATACTCAACTTAAGCAGTTGAGAAATAAGGCCTGAACGGGAATCGAACCCATGACCTCTGCGATACCGGTGCAGCGCTCTAACCAACTGAGCTATCAAGCCAACTGGGAGCTGGTCAATTGTGAGTTCGTTATATACCCGTAGATGGAGAAGGTGTGATAAGAATACATGAAAGTCATATATTTGTACTGCGGCAAATACATTTTAAGCAAATGAAGATCATCGCAGTATATACTCAACTTAAGCAGTTGAGAAATAAGGCCTGAAAAAAATTCAGGCCTGAACGGGAATCGAACCCATGACCTCTGCGATACCGGTGCAGCGCTCTAACCAACTGAGCTATCAAGCCAACTGGGAGCTGGTCAATTGTGAGTTCGTTATATACCCGTAGATGGAGAAGGTGTGATAAGAATACATGAAAGTCATATATTTGTACTGCGGCAAATACATTTTAAGCAAATGAAGATCATCGCAGTATATACTCAACTTAAGCAGTTGAGAAATAAGGCCTGAAAAAAATTCAGGCCTGAACGGGAATCGAACCCATGACCTCTGCGATACCGGTGCAGCGCTCTAACAAAATATGTGGTTGGTTCATTCAAAGTCTGCACTGCTTTTTTTTTTGTTAACGAACTTAAGTTCCGAGTTTAAGGTCTGTAGTCTACCTCTCATAAATTGTAATTGCCTCACCCAGTGTAAGTATTGTTTAGTATGTAGAGTAAGCTAATTATTGATTTAAAATTCGTAATGCAAGTAGTGTAAGCATCATAAAGTTTGTACTGTATATTAATTTAAGAGAGAGAGATCCTTTTGGTAAGTTGTCTTAAACGTGAGTATTGATAAGTATAAATAGAAAAAGGGGTTTTATGAATTGAAGTCACGTAAGCATTGTTAGTATCGTAATTACTGTAAGTGTTTTACGTAGTAGTATTGCACTGTTGTATGTAAATTAAAAGTTAATTAAAACAATTGTTAAAAGAAAAGGGTTAAAAAAAAGGACTGACTCACTGACCGGGAAGAAAATTGCGCACTGTCACATGAAAAACAAAAAACATCTTACTAACATCGATTAGCTTTGGAAACCAGATTCTAAACTTCATTTTCCACCATGGTGTTTCTTGCACCAGGTGATCGCTCTCTAAAAATAGCCTGTTCAAAATGTCTCCACAAGGAGTCGAACCACTGACCTACAGGAAGTACTTTGGACGCTTAAGCAAACATCCTGCTCTCCCCAGTAATAGGATTTAGATGTATCGCTTTAATCGCGTGAGTAAAAGAGAGAAGGTTCTGTTATAGAAAGATTTCCTCTCTTTTCACTCCTTCTGGGTTAACCATGTTTTTCGCCCTGATCGATAGGAAAAGCGAGAAAGATTCATCTTATTCATCTTATGACTGAGACCATTCCTTTGAATCACGTGTCTCGAAAGGCCTGCGAAAAATGGTCATATGAGCCTATAACCGATAAAGTTACATTTGATTTTGCTTAAATCGGCAAACGCAAAAGGTTGCATTGCTCAGGTTCCTATTTTGGTATCGCGAAGACAGACTGCAACGTTTGATGAAAATTACCAGAGCGAAAGGGAAAAAAAAAAAAACGGTGAGTGGTTCTTTAGGTTGTCAGCTGCGGTCAAAAGTGGTATTTTTAGAGCGCCAAGTAGTGCGAGACGAATATCACAAGAACCGATTACCGCTGAAGAGATGAAATTTATAGAAACGTCGATACTGAAGGACTGGTGATTGACCGATTCTAACTCTAACTTTGTTCTGTTTCAACTTGAAATTCAAAGGCTTTCTTAGATGGTCACAAAGCAATCTGATTTCTCGATGGTCGTTAAACGATGAATCGAAAACAAAAACATGCCAGAAAAACAAAGCAGGTAAAAAAATCACTCTCGTGCAGGCTATGCGATTAATTACTCGTAAAAATCAGCGAGTGGCCGAAAACCACGCAACATGAAAAAAAAAGGAGACATCTCATGTTACATTTTTGATGAAGTTTCCTGTATAACCGTCCGAGGCTCGTGGCATTGACAACTTGCTCACTAACAGCACCCTTGATTCTCCAGTTTCTTCGTTACCTTGTCTTTTTTGTTCATTTCCAACGTCACTTAGTCGCTTTTGTTTGTTTTTGAAATTGTGCGTGATGAAATTTGACCACAGGATAGGCATAATAACAACCCCCCTCTATAGAAACCGCTGGCATGGTTTTTCTACTTGAAGTATAGCAACATTATTTGTTCAGCTGCTGATAGACGTCAGTAAATAGACGACACAAGCTCGGGTGCACTCACGCGTTAACGCACCGATTTTTCCCTTGTTACGTTTACAGATCACTTGTGGAAAATTTCCACACAAGAATTTACGAAGAGCCCACAACAGGTTAAATTTTTCTTCAGAGGAGAAACCTCAGAAAGTATAATTCCAAGAAAACCTACGTGAGGTATGATCATAACACGTTAAAGTAAATTTACATATCTAAAAGAAACTTCAGTATATATCAGTTTTTGTTTGGTGCTGGTGAGTTGTTTTTCTCACCTTTTTACGACTGAACATGACAAAAGATCCATAGTTACTTTAAACTCCTGGCATGAGTTAATCATGACATATTTTGCGAGAACGACCTGACGTTTTCACGATACATTCAAAATTAAACGAAATGCTTCTCCAAGAAGAGTAAACTTCGGATATTTTGACAAACAAACGCAAAGTATTATTACTACACGGTAAGATATCATGGAACAACAAAAGACTAGAAACAATCAAAACAACTTGTTCGAGTGTCATTCTCATTGTATTAACTGACTTTGAATGCACAGAATCTGAATCACCAAAACAAAATTCGAACGACTCTCAATTTCAAGAGATTCAAAAAGAAAAAAGGAAATGATATTTTTGAATATCATTCAGGCTTACAAAACATATGATACCGAACGATACTTTTATCATTTTCTACTGCGGTGAAGAGGTTTGCGCAACCAGCTCGTTAGCATCCCAAATTGTATATTAAGTACCCTTTAATTCACGTTTTTTTTTCATTTTCATCTCACCCACTCCTGACTCGAATTTGCAGAACTTTTCGTTATAAAGAATTCATCCGAGGGAAGACAGACTTAGCTATAGTCGTATAGAAGAGAAAACTGGCTAAAAATGGTCTTTCTGTGTACGTGTCTGGACCGCTCTGTAATTCATCACCCTCAGGTCAAGAAATAATTATTCTCAAAATGATTGAAATTCATTTGTAATGCCATCTTAAGTCTACCGGCAACGAAAACCCCATAAAAATTTCTCTGCTCTCAACTTGTGGCTTCGATGTTCAATTGCCGGCACTATGCACCCAAACTATTCAGGGAGGCATTAGTTTAGGCGCAATCTTGAATTAATTTTTCAAAGCTTTTTCTTCCTCTTTTACGTGCGAAGATTAATTCGTCACTCATCATTTACAAGTCAAATATAATTCGATTCATTAATCATTTTTGAATGAGTGTTCTTTTGTTCTAAATTAAAGAAGGCATCTTTTAGACACACGACATATTATGCTCTACAAAGTTTTTGAAAATAACGACGTCACAATGCGCGCATCTTAACCATTTAACTCCCATGAGTGACCAAGACAGAATTTCTCCTCAGAATATCAATATAATATCAAGCAGACAAGTAATGAGAATAAAGGAAAATATCAATCAGGGGATTATTAGTTGATCCAGTACAAATTCTCCGAACTAACTTCGTGGCCATTATATGGTAAACAGTAAGAAGAATTATTAAGCTTATTTTTTTGTAATCTTCTCCATTCTGTATCCTACTTCCTTTTTGATTGATTCTTACCTTTTCGGCGCCTTTGTTTTATGAAAATTTGAAAAGTTTATGAGACCCTTTTTAAGTTAATTAAACTGATTTCTTTCTTCGAAGGAAAAAAAAAGGCACAGGTAATGTAGTGCGAGGTAATGACGGCCATCAATGTCTGACTGAGTTAATCATAGCCATTTGAAAGATGTTAACAACGCTTCCTTCGGCTTTCAGTGATGTTTTTTTTTGCAATTACGCCTACAAGGAAATGGAAGACCACGCGCCACATTATGCATGCTGCGAATTGTCGTGTTTTTTTTCACGGAAGTGAGTCAAATGAAAGAACGAAATTTAGTGAACTCGGTCCACGACGATATGTTAATGACGTTTCCTTTAGATTTCAGTGAGTTTTTTTTTCAATTAGGCTTACGAGGAAATGGAAGACTACGGGCCACATAACGCAGGCTGTGATTTTTGGTTGTTTTCTCTCATGGAAGTATAGATCAAATCAATCGAAGACGAATGAAGCAAGCAAAACTAAACAAAAGAAATGAAGAAGTAACCTCTCGTATAAGCTCTCTTTACGTTGCGATATTTAAATCGGTGATCGAAGTACTTCCATGATCTCAAATAACTAGGGTATCTTGCAGTTGACGTAGGGTCCATTTAAGGTTTATTTGTCAGTTTTGCACCTCGCATCCTGTATTGTACTTAATAACCACGTACGTAATCACGGGAATGAACGTGCGCGCATTCTGAGAACACGGTATTGTTTTTCAATCCACGTACCAGATAAAGAGGTACGATGGTCTTTAGCTCTTGAACGACCACGGTGACCAATCTTTTTTATTGCATTTTTCGAAACAGACATTGTAGGGAACATTTAAGGAAAGTTTCAAAGAAATTGTTCGATAACTTTATTTTCTGAGGACTCACCTTAAAGTAGAACTGCAACGCGTGCGTAGGAGAAACTTTTTTTGATATTCTGCCAGATTTGACTCTTACACCTGTTGGTATTGGCAAAAACATACGAAAAAACAGGTCATAATTTTCCAATGTGAAAGATCTCTGTAGGCACAAGAACATCAAAGAAGACTGTCAAACGGAAGGCGAATGACAAATGCAAAAGAAATCTGCAAAATAGGGTGAGACGAGAAAAATTATTTTCAGAAAACTTCCTGACCCTGAAATTCGATGTCGAAATTGGAAGAACACTTCGAGCTTACTTTGCCGTAGCTACTACGTCCATATAAAATTTTTTTTCGACTCGAACGTTTTTCCTTTCAGGGTTTAAACATTAAACTTCATTATAAGGCGGAAAATAACACATGTTGCAAGATTTAATTACCTGATTGTGGTTCTATTTCTAATAAGTGACAACAGGACTATTTTAGTTCAACCTACTCTGCAGTGAATGTTTGATAAATCATACCAGATGAAAAGAATACTACTGATTTTTTTCCTGTTGTTCTCTTAAAAAAATCCGAAAACTTGAAAACCCGATCACGCATGATGAAATATTTTATTGGCAAAAATTTTCGAGGTTTTTTTTTTTGCTTCTTCTCTTGCAACATCGCAGGCTGTACTAAATAATTTAAAAATCTATGTTGACATAGTTTTCATGTTTATGCATGAACGTGAAAACCGTGAAATTTAAACCTTCAATTCACGAAGGAGGATGGCCGTTTCATTTGGTTTTCTGCCAGTCTCAGAGAACATTCAGCTGGTACGGAAAAAATGAGCCCTCGACGAATATGGTGATGAGAAGCTTGGTGAAAAAAATCGGAACTCCACAGAAATATCAGTGTAGCTTTATCAATTCAATTTAGATTGAAATGCTCTAAGAAATATTAACAAGTGCCTGAAAATTGCGAATGATTTTTATAATAATAATTTATACGGTGCCATACGTTGAGTAATTATAAGCCCATTTGTAATCGCCTTAGACCCTTCCACTAAACAATAACCCCTAGTCGATAATTTTCTCTCCTCTCATCACCTTTTTGTTTAAAAACATATCAATAATGTAGGAAAAATTCCTGTTTGTTCACTCCTGGGAGAGAGAACTTTAAAAAGAACTAGAAGTTTGCCAGGTTAAGAAAACATCGAAGAGTTAAGAATAAGCCAAAGCGAACAGGCGGAGTTAAGCGTAAAATTGGAATTTACACTCTTCAAAAGCTTACGCTAAATGTTTTCAAGATGGAGGAACTGTGAGAGGGTTCCCTACAAATTTCTTAGAAACCTCTTTGCTGGTCGTCCTCCTTCGGCTTTGTGTTGTTACGGGAAAATTTACTGATTTTTCCCGTGTGTGTTATTCGGAACATATTTATTCGTAAACTTTCACATTTAACCATTTCAAGTCCTTTCATTTAAAAAAAAATCAAAAAAAGTATAAAAACCACAGAAGCTTTTAGAATAGATTTTTGTTGTTACTCGCTTTCATCACATGCACCTGCTTGTCGGCACTTTTTTTTATTTATTACATGGTTTTTTTAAGTAAATATAAGTGTTGATGGTCTTTCTGGAAACATTGGTTTTCATGGTAGATGGCAGCTGAGTTTATACTCGTAAATCTTATTTCTTTTCATGCGATGGTTTCCAAGCCAATCTTGCATAGATAAGCAGAAACTTTTAATCGCTTTTCCGTTTTTTATTTCCTAAGCTGCGCTACTGCAATTAAGATAGGTATTGTTTTCTATATCAGAGCTGTAAAATTGCACCTAAGTTTCCTACGTTAATGGCCTAGAGTTTATTGCATCCGTCTTTTTAATTTTGAGATTCTTTCCGTCGTAGAAACAGATGGAATATTTAAGTAGTTTTCGTTTAACTTCAAAGAGACTTTTCTCCGCTCCTTTGTGTCCTTATTCAAATATTGCGATTTGTGTAACAATAGCAGTTCACACCAGTTACTTCTTAAGCAAGTACCTTGTACAGCTTCGTTGATTACAAACTAGAGTATGCTAGAGGTCATGTCGCTTGTTGGCCCGACCTAGAATAAAAGTACTGTGGAACCAAAGATTGTCTTATCCTTGACGTCCGTATAAGCTCGCTCGAAGTAGATCTCCGTGTACCAGGAAATCGTGACGAGTTTCCGTTCTCGCTGCCAAGTCGTCTCTACAGAGTTATTTCCCCCAGTTGTTATTGTGCCGTCCGCGAAGATTCAGTCTTCCAGTTAGCGAGCGAAAAACTATCGTCGCAGTGTTCAAAATTACTAAAGAAACTAAGGGTGCGTTCCTCTGGGAGAGTCCGGATAAGAATTTCTGATCTGTGGCGTTCCTTTCCAGCAAATCAATTTTCAGATCAGTGATTTATCAAATTCTCAATGCGGATATGGCTCTGCCTCTTCCTTATCAAGAGATACAACAGAAATTCTTCATCTTCACAACTTCTCGCTTCTTGTAATATTGAATCATCGGAAAGTTCATCTATTAACGAAACAAAAGCTGCTCTAAACGCGACGGCAATCTTGTTTTCGTTTTTAAATTTAGCGCGCGATTCTGTTGACGTGCTCTACAATTTCGCGCCTGCTGTCGTGATAACTGATCCAATGAACTAAAGCTCCGGTTCTTCGATGCACCGTAATCTGTGTGATCTTGGATCACAAATCCTAATCCGGATCCTCCCAAAGGATGCACCTTAAGACAAGAATCTCCAAAAAGTACATTGTTTTGATAGCGTCACGCAGTAAGAACTACAATGCCCAATTCTTATGAAAAGCAACAACTTAACATCGTCTGCCTCACAAAGTTCACCGGTTTTTTCGAAAACTGACGCTTCTTGACAAACGTTTAGGCGACTGTTGACTACCGCGAAGTTGCTGATCCGCCAAGGGGGTTAAACACTTGAAATTACCATCTTTACATTTTCCGTTGTAAAAATTCATTACAGTTTTACTTTCTGACGTTTGAATTTCAGCAACTCTTTCGATTTTTGAAGAATCTTCTTTAGGAAGAAAACAATTTAAATGTTTTATTGTAGTGAGCAATGAAAATGACTTGGGTAAAATAGAATAAGGTTATTCACAAATGGTTTCGTCCACTAGGACAGAAATTAAATTGTATCTAAACTCTTTTCCCCGTAAATGAAAGTGACTCTTTTCATGATATAAAATTTAACAGATGGTTAAAAGATGTGACAACAATTGGACGTCTCTTGTCAACAAAACAGTTAAATTATCGAAGTGACTGCAAATTAGAATCATCTATTATCTCAACAAGACAGCGGTGGTATTAAACAAAAAGATCTATTAACCAATATCTTTGACTCGAAGTAATGAGGACGAGATAAGATATTCCTGTTTCAATGTCGAATCTGTTTCACGGCTTTGCATGAAGAAACTCTCTACATATTTTGAACCTATCAACTCTACGGATTCGTTTAAAACGACGTTAGAAAGGCTGGGTTCGGAGATCAATGTGATTTTTAATTTTATACATTAGTTTCTGGAGGAGTCAAAGCGTGCTATAAATAAAGTTGGTTGTAATATTTTCTTCATATGAAATAGATGCTTTTGGCAATGCAAATTAAAAGGAGGTACAACCGATTAGCGTTTTACTTTGTAAATGGAAAATTCGTTTTCAAAGGATATAAAAGTCATCCATTAGTATTGCTGTCCCCTAAGGAAGAAATAAATAGCGATTTTGTTACGTTAAGCCAAGTCACCAGCTGCTCTGCGTATCGTGAGATAATCGTACGTCGCTCTCTGAACAGTTTAAGGTCATTCTTACATCTGCCGCGTTGTATAAGGTGTTCTTTGGTCTCGCACAGAATTGAGACGAAATTGAAGGTGAACCGTGTTAAAGGTTTGTAAACCCTTTTGTCGACCTTTCGAATGTCGCTCCCAATAGCTGGGCCACATTTTTTTAAAATGTTTTTCTTTTACGTCCAAGAAAAAATATTCCTGATTACGATGGGTGTTTGCGATCTGATAAAAAATATCTGCCATTCGTAATTAAAAAATGTGTTTAAATGTCAAGCTTCTGTTAATGCACATGAAAACCGCAAGGGCCGTCAATAAAACCATTTTGTTCTGTTATTTAATTCTAAACATGCGGCAAATACATAGAACTTTAAACAATTTCCTTCCTTGATAAAGAGGTATAAGTCTTCCACGAGGGTTAACAACAACGAGGAATAGTTTTTTCTTCTACTCGAGGAAAAAGTTAGTTGTGGATCTCTTAAAAGGTTTGCCTGAAGCCTATTTGGGGTTTACATCTTTCACTGAAACTCTATTTAAGCTTTTACCGATTAGTGACTAAGAGTTTCGGGCGTAGTCCGTGACGCATGAATGAAGTTGCACGGGGTATTCAGTTTAGAAAACCTTCCTTTTGAACAGCAAGGTTTAGGGTGTAAATAAAAGAACATAGACTGTGATTTTACAATAGTCGCGAAGATTTTGCCGGTGATCTGCTGGCGAAGACTGAGAAGTTTTTCGACGTTTCCAATTTTTTTTCATGTTACGTTTAAGAATTTCATGCTGGAAACTGAAAATGATGTCAAATAAATTCCATGCTGAGTTCAAGCTTCCCAGCTTCTCGGCGGGGTGAACCACCCCATTAGTGTGTTGAAATGTAACTGAAAGCAGACTTTACAAATAGTGAACAGTGTCCATTGGTTACGCACAAAGGACTGAATGATAAAATTTTCTTTGGCTTCTTCGGCTGAGGATCTTAATTACATAAAATGAAATATTGATGTCCTCAAACAAAGCGGTTTTCATTGCTTCTCCGCCCGTTTAACACGTATTTTATTTCAATCATTATTGAACGAGAAGCCAGCAATGGGGAGTGATTCAATATAAATTAAAAAAATTTATGGAACGGCTCGGGAAAGGGAAACAGAATGGATACATCTCGGTTAAGTAACATTTCATTTCACTTTATGTAGATTTTTAGACAACGATGTGTTGAAAATTGCATTGATTACGGCTCTCTATGTTATCAGTTTTCTGTATCTCAACAGTTCATGTAAACACACTCACAGGGTGATCTGCCTTCAGTGGCTGATCTTCCTTTGCCCTTTACGTGAACACTTCTCCGTTGTGTGTTACTGTAGAAGAACATGAACTGGTTATTGATAATCTACGTGCTTCACTGAGAAAGTAATAGCATGTCGTATCATTTACATTCTATAAATAGATGTGGTTCACAAATATGATCAATTTTCATAAAAAGGAAAGTAATTTAAATCTTCCTAAGGTGCCCACAGCAATTTTCCAAGGTGAGAAATTTTAATTTGGAATTGTTTAGGGAAGTCTAACTCTGACAGGTGAGAAAATGGGATCACAATTGTATCATAAATTTTGGTATCAAATTGTTGGAAAAAGATTCTACTCTGTTGGAACTGAAGAAGTCACATTTATCGTATAACCTTTCCGCTGATGCACACAGGTACAGACAGCGTAAAACCAAGCGCAAAAAAGGCATGAGCATGCAGGGTCCAAATTTATTTTTTCTCACTTAGCTCAACAAAACATAACGAAACCGCTGTTGAAGCTTTTTTTTAGCCAAATGATTGTAAAAGAATAATATCTTCTGCCGTACTCTCTAAGGGTTCTTGAGCGATACAATTCGCAGGAGAGAAAAAAGCGGCAAAACCACAAGATATTTGCGGTATGCAAATCACGTTTAATAATGTTGTACCGGAATCGGAAAAACGCCATATTATGATTTTGTACAACAACACATTAACGTGTTCAGGGTACGTTCAAAGTTATTCAAAATCAAACTCGGACATGCAGCTATACAACTACATTTCTCAGCTAAAGAACCAAGAGACAAGGAAAAGAAATTTCTGAGTAATCGGCCTAAATTTATCCTTTGAAAGGGCAAAGAACGTTTTTACATTTTTAACTATTTTAAGACTCGCTGTAGAAACTGTGGTGCTGCTTCGGTGGGAGAGTATAACAAGGTAATTTAGCATCATCAAATGAGTTGATAACTTAAATTTGCCACCATAAAGAGTTTCAAAGCTGACGTTTCGAGTGTTAGCCCTTCGTCATTTGCTTTTAAACTCTTTACGGCGGCCATTTACTCAGTTGATATTGTGTTTTGCTTCATCTTGAGCTTGCAAAGTGGCTTTAATGTGTAAAAAAAAAAAAAAAAAAATTGCAACATTCGATGAAAGAGAAAAAAGTACAAGAATCAAGACAGTATACATAAGTGCAAACAACGCTTACATCAAGTAAAGCCATGGTCCTCGCTGGCGTGATGCAATTTTAGCAGTTGCAGAAAACTGAGAAGTCTGAAAATTCAGGCTTCGACAGGATTCGAACCTATACCTCCTAGATACTAGTTGGTTACTACAACCAACTGAGCTGTAAAGCACTGGGAGCGAGGCAAAGTTTAGAGTGCATAGAGTGCATATAATCTGTCACAAAAAACGGGAAAAAAATACGAGCTTGAAAGATCGGGAAAAAATGCCTCGGGTCAAACGTCCCTTTAAGAGGAAATGAGCCACAACCCCTCGTTACAATTAGTGAAACACCTACCACATGTCAAGAAAAATGACGAGGAAAAAAACCTCAAAAAGAAAACTGACCTTTGATAGAGAAGCGGGGTGCCTCAACTAAAATCGGCTCAAAAGAACTTGTGTCATTTCTGTTAGTTCCAGTGATTATATCGTCAGGTCAAGATACAAACCAACGTGAATATTATCATGCATGCTTAAAGTTATGAATTAAAAGGTTTCTATTAAGAACAATTAATTTATAAGATGCTTTCATTTCTCTTAGATGTCTCGGCAATTTGTCAAATTAAAGCAAAAGAAGTAAGTTTTTATCTTATCAAATCATTAATTCAATAAGAGTATCCAAAATTCCTGGTTCATCTTTATTCTTAAAAGCAATAAATCCTTTGGAATGACATGTCTCAACTAAAAATCCTACTGGTGAGCCTCCTTCTTCTTAACTAAACTGTTTGAACTTATTTTAAATAGAAGAGCCAGTCTACGTTCCCGCTGGCATTCAAACCGCATTTAGATTCTGTACAATAGTGTGTTAATAAGAATGAATTCCAAATGGAAAAGCTGCGATGAAGTCTTGCGTGTAAGCATGAATTGAGATACGTTTCACAGGATCAAAGATTCCATGTTTCAAGGCTACGAAAAAACTTTAGGCGTATTTTATTGAATACGTAAATCGTTAGTTTTAGTCTAACAGGGGCATCTTTAATGTTTGCCCGTAGCATCCAATCTATCGGCTTATTCGTGGTCTTATCGCTAACAGGTAATAACACAGTAAAAAAAGGTTCTGTCATGGGACGTTCTAACCCCACGTTCTACTAAAGATCTAAAACCTTACGTCAAAATTAGGGAGATTCCGATGACAAAATTTTTATCACCAAAGTTCAAATAAAAAAAAAGAAAAAAGCGAAGAGGCAAAAGAGTGATTTATGTGAGCATTACATACAACACCTGCAGCCTTTTTAAACTCCACTGCCCAGCACTATTGCGATGCTTTTAATTTTGAGTTTGATTTATGTCCACTTTGTAAAACAAACAGTCAATTGAAAATGCTCGCTTGAGCGGCCAATTACAGTTTCTAATTGGCAACCTCTATGCTAAAACCAAAATAGTTATAATGAATCATTTCAAAACAGAGCAGCTGTCACTGTCATGGCCATTCAATTCATTTGATCAGTTTTACCTCATGGACAGAGAACCTTGAAGGTACGTTGAATTTGGTCGCTCTGAATTTTCATCTATGGGTTCAATTGTCCAAATATCACTAAAAATTGGGAAATTCTTCACGGGAACCGCAAATATCTCAGTGAGTTAAAACATAACGTTCGTGGCTAAGGCAAAGTACAGTCTGATTTCATTTTCATCTCTTTACCCATAATCCTTACATCACCGTTGAAGAGAAACTATAAAAAGAAATCAGTATATTGCTAACAATTGCGCAACTATTTCAAACTTAACATAAATGTAGCTCACACAAGAAGGTAATAATCTCATTTTTTGCCGCTTGTCGTTAATTTCATGTTTCACTTCTCTTATAAGTCACGATCACCAGCAGGTATTCTGATCAAGTTTGGAGGTTTATTTGTTAATAGCGGCATTCCGGTTAGTGACTATATAGATGCTTGATTAAATACCACAGGAGACTTTCTAGGCTCGATTTCTGCTATTTTTTGGCGTCCAGTCCTTCAGGACAGATAGTTAATTTCTGCTGTTTGGCGAGTGATAAAAGGACGAAGAAGTGAAATGGCAGAAAGAAAGAAAACGTAGTTATTTTGGTAATAAAAGAATGCTGATAAATTAGTAAGCTTTGAATTGTTTCGTTTGCAGCTGCGAGTTGAAATGAAAGAAATGGAGGGCACGTTTAGCAACGAAACAAACCACACATCTTCAATGAATGGAGGTACCGCGCCATTGCCACCAACGTTTCCAGAATACCTTCACCAGCCACTGTGGGCCCATGTGTTCCAAATCACCCTGTGGTCAACTGTGGTATTCCTGGGAGTTATTGGCAACCTCTTGGTGTGCACTGTAATACTCAGACGACCCAGGATGAAGACGACGATGAATTATTACTTGCTAAGCTTGGCCGTTGCAGACTTAGGAGTTTTAATATTAATCTATCCTGTGGCTGTGCTAAAATACCTAAGACCATTTCGATGGGTTCTAGGAAAGCCGGCATGTTTATTTATGGTTCCTACACAGGAGATCTTCTTTGGATCCTCCATCTGGTCCATAACAGCAATTGCCATCGAGAGATACCGAAATATAATTGGCTCTAAACGATATCAGCTAAATCGCGGGTCTCGAACAACAACCTGGATGGTTATAATGGGCGTCTGGTTGGCATCATTTTTAGTCTCATGCGTTCCTCTTTACCCCGTTATTACCTACGAGCCCTCTATCCCATTATGCTATCCCGATTGGTCAGATAATTATGGAGGATATGCTGTTTTTGTGTCTTACTCGGTAGCTCTTATTGTGGTTTGGTATGCCCTTCCTCTCTCTGTTATCGCATTCACGTACATAAGGATCAAGAATCGTGTACATCGTAGTGCTGTGTTCCGACAGTCGATGTCAATTGGCGATGAAAAGGAAGAAATTCTCTCGTTCCAGGCTCCAAAAAACCACGATAGATCTCGTCAAAGAATATGGCGACAGAGCAACAAAGCAAGACAGATTCTTACCCCACTTGTTGTATTATTTGCCGTGACAATGTTCCCACTGACCGCCTTTCGGCTCCTAATACTCATCAAGCCCAAGGTTTGGACCAGCCCCTACTATAACCTGTTAATGGGCCAAGTAACATTATTCGTTATGGTCAACTCCTCAGCTAATCCACTTGTGTATTACATCACAAGTAAAGAGTTCAAAGATGCACTCAAGGAATTGTTTAAAAAAAGGCGTTTCCAGTCATGGAGACAGTGCAGTGACAAAGGAGGTAAAGCATCATCTATCTCGAGAACGACAGGCGTTTAAGGACAAAATCAAGAAGCAGCAGCAGATAAAACACAATGGTAACGACACACATCGCCAAAAGTTACGCTGCCTGCAGCTTGCTAGGAGCCTGCCTCGGGTTGTTCGAGATAACGCTATCCACTCGATAAATCTCTATCCTTTGGATAGCGAAATACCTTTTGTACTCTGGAGAGCGTTTTATCCGGTGGATAGCGTTATGCGTTCTTTGAACAACTGGGTCCTGAAGAAAATACTATATTTCGATTCAAGTGGATGGATAAAGTTGTTATGAAGGTATAACAGCCAATGGATCGGCCATTTCAGACCAGGGAAGTGGATCTCTTATGTACACCTGCTTATGTTAACAGTCTTGGAAAAACCGTCCATATTTAATTCAAGTAGTAGGATTAAGTTGTCATTTCAAGAAACTGGAGTAGCAATAGTATCGAAGTGGCCATTCAAAACAGGTGTAAAAAGTTGAGGTGTGGACAAAACAACTTATTTATCAACTCTTTCACTCCAGGAAAGTGGCTCTCAATGTATGCCAGTAGCCTGCAGAAAAACACTTCATTTACATTCAAGCAGTTTGATAAAGTTCTCACGAGGATAAAGTAACTTCTTGTGGGAAGGGCCAATCTGAGTGCACGGTGGTTGTCTTTGGTAACAACCGTTTGCCAAGGCCTTGGAAAAAACTATATCGTGCAATTTAACTAAGTGGATTAGAGTGGCATGAGGATAACGGAGCCAACTTATTTAGCTACGATAGTGTGGCGTGCAGCGAGTGCTGGGAAGCTGCAATTGTACGAAGAATCTAACCACTCTATTTAAGCAACCGATCAATCATTTGTTACAGGCAAAGAAAGTTAAAAGCGCAGTACAGTACTAGCTGTAGTCAATACTGCAAAAAAAGTTGAAAACGTTGGAACTAAGAGCAAAAACATTGACGTTTTCAGACGTATTTGTTTAGTTCATGAATAATATACTTTCAACATCCCTTTAGAAATACCTTTTGAAAACAACATGCATCAAACCATGCAAACCAGTAGTTCGATTTAAGAGCTGCGACGATCTGAACCTTAGCAATCACTCTAAAAGATGAATCGTTGTGCATTCTACAATACGCGACTTTGCTAATACTGGGGTCAGAATGAACGCTGGGATTAGCCAACCCGGCACCAGTTCCCTCAAGGAGCAGCCTCGATACTTTTTCATAAAAATGATAAACGTGATTTCACTCTCATACTCCCCATAGAGTTAGCGTAAGTATTAGTGACAACTTGTCAACAACTGGTTCTGGGATTCTTCATAGAATTAGTGCGAGCATAAGAAAGCAGTATCTGCAAATGTTAGTGTGCAAGATCATTAGATAAACTACCCACTTCTCTTTTTAATATTGTAAATCACATGAGAGATTAGGCTACAGGACTTCTATCGCGAAGCTTCTCAGCCCATTTTCAGTAAAACTATTCATAGCTAGAGCCAAGTGTAACAACCTTTGAACCAAAAGAGATAAAAAGAAATTCAACCAGTGCGTGTCTTAAAGTTCTGTGATAAATTAACTTCAGAGGCGGGTGGCTTCTGTGACAAGTAGTCACTTGGGATAGACCGTTTCCGGTTCCATGACACTCTCCGTGTTTTAGCGCGGAAAACCGTCTTCGGTTGGTTAGGTCAGTTGGTTGATCAACTTTTTCGATTGAAAACAAACCAAGTTGAATTCACAACTGTTTATATAAGAGAGAGAGAAGTAGGAATCGCACTTCAGGACACCATGCTCTCTTAGCTGAACTCGTTAACACAGAGAAGCCTAGAAATGACGACTCCTGGAGTCAATCGAAAAGGTTCGATCAAGTGGAACGAGGTTGGTGTTCCAGTAGCAGACTTCAACCTACATCGGTTGTGGTTGAAAAGGTTAAACCCAATAGCACACGATTTAGTATTATCAACCGAGTCGATAACGTAAATTGGCCACCGTAGAGTTTCACAGTTCACGTTTCTAGTGTTAGCCCTTCGTCAGAGCGAATGGAGGAATTGTGGGTTGTGTGTGTGTTTATAAGCAGAAAATGGCGCAACGCTATTGGTGGGAACATGGTGACGAGAAAACAAGAAAAAATTCGTTGGATGAAAAACGCTCTTTTTCCCTTTGCTTTTTTAGCTGCAAAACTCTAGAACAAAAATTTATCTTTCCAATCGGCACTCTTAATCCCCACGGTATCAACGAGCGCTTTCCATTCAACTAATTTATTCTTGTTTTCTCGTCATCACGTTCCGACTGACTATTAATTCAAAAAGGATGTTTTATTCTCCGCTTCAAAGAGATAGGTGCGATTAATTTTTGCTCAAGTTGGTTGACGGGGAAAAAGAAAAACCTTGTTTAAAAACAAAAAACAAGCTCGCCAACCAAGTTATAGTCTTCTCATTTATAAGCCGAGTATCTTAAACACAAACTCGGCTCAGCACAACCTTCTCTAAAATGATACATTAAAGCATGCAAATACATATAAGACTCACGAAGCATAGATAACTTCAGATTTAAGATAAACAGGAGTCGTTTCTTTCTTAAGAATTAAAGGTGCCACAGGTCACTTCTTATGCTAATTACTGTGGTTATCGTATCACTCTTCTTTGATTCCTAAGGCTCTCAGCCGTTCAATCAAAGGCGGATGTGAGAAATGGTACGCCGAGTATAATTTATCTGCCACAGGGAACCCAAGGTTGTCTTTGTGAAGCTTTATCAGGGCTGAACGTAAAAATGTGGAAAACCCAAGATTCTTTGCGAAGGCGTCGGCTTGAAATTCAAACTTTCGGCTTAGGACGGTCATCAGAAAACCTAGTAACTAAAATAAATAAAGGAAAGGAAAGTGACGTTACTTTTTCGATATCGGGGCCGCAATTGATCGCAAATTAGTCATACGCTACAGTAAAAATTTCTCATGATCTACGACTTTTTTAATTTGTCCAAAAAAAGTTTCAAATAACTTCGAAGCCTGCAAAGCAGGCGTAATTTTGGCGATTGCTCGATATTTTTTTAGGCGAAATTATGTTGCCATCTTTGATTTTAATGGCAGCGGAAGGCTGTGAAGAGAAAGAAATTTGTACATGGCCGGTTGCATAAACGATCGCGAGCTTCTTAACGTTAATTCGCCCTTATAAGACGCCTGCACTGCAGGCTACTACCTTCGTAACTACCGTAGGCAGTAAAAATTTTGCTTTTTTTACAAACCGGCTCAGGACTCAATCCATAAAATATTTTTATTGAAAAAATCTTCTATTTGGGAGATTAAATTTTGCTATTTAAAAAAGAAGAAAGAAGAAATTTTTTGTCCCTAAATCCTACTTGTGATTCCAATCGAACTCGCGCGGCGTGCTCGATCTATTTTTAATTTACACGGAAGATCTAAGACCAATTGCACTCTACCCAGTTCAGTTGCCATTATCCATAATAACTGGTAATGCATACCTCATTGTAAGGTGAAAATATAAACTGAAATATGATCACCAGACCAATCAATGTGGGCTGTGAGTCGGGGAAACCAAAGCTTGCAAACAATGCCCCGTTATGCATCAGAAAACCGAACATCATGAACGAAAAAAATGTGTTCACCTACAAGGACAGAAAAACAGGTTCATTACAACATAGTCAAAAAGCCTTCCCTCTGAGAGTATCTGTACAAAGGAATTACTTAAAACAACTTGGCAAAACGCTGCCCAGACATGTTCCCTCGTGCATGCAAATGGCCTGTAATGGTTTACATGTTGGAATTTACCTGTGAGATTCCAAGGTTTTTAAGGGTGTGACTAAGTTTCCAGTGGCCCAGTTCATGCCCTAGAACTGCCAGTATCTCATCATTTGAGCAGCCTTTGCCCTTCTTCACTTCATCATCTTCTGTTGCATCCTGCAATGGTGGACAGCAATCAGTCGGAAAAAAAAAAGAAAAAATAACAAAGGTCTTCAGAAGTATAACTCATTGAAAGATTTAATCATAAAAAGGCTAATCCTTTACACCCTATCATCAGTATGAATATTCTCTATACTCTTCGCTATACATTTCCTAAGGTGCTGACAAGGAGAATTTGTTTAATAATCAAGAGCTCTTTAGTTGGTGATCATTTCCTTTATTCTTGTGACCTTCCTGTGTGATTCAACCCTTCAATTCCCAAGACCTGATAGTTAATTCTCTTCCAAACCAAGTAACGCTAACACAAATATTATTATTAGAACCTCCTTCTGCATATTATTTGTTAAAGGACTGAACTACAATCAAACTTGCTTAAGCTTCCAGCAAGGAAGCTTAATTAAGATAGATTTTAGTGATTGGAGTCCAACTGCAAACCTTTCCTTTACTACTGACTTCCAAACCAAATAAGAATAGTAAAAAAAATAATGACTAGCACCTCCTTCTGCTCATTATTTGTTAAAGGGCTGAACTAAGATCAAACTTACTAAAATTTCCTGTTCGGAAGTTAAATTAAGAGAGGGTTTTAGTGATTGGAGTTCAACTGCAAACCCTTTCCTTAACCAAACAAACTATTGACTTCCAAACCAAATAATAATTACACAAAAATAATGACTGGCACCTCCTTCTGCTCATTATTTTCCACAGGTTCATCCACTGCCTCCTTCTCTTGCTCCTTGTTATCATCATTTTCCTTTCCACCTTCTTCACTATCCTTCTCTTCCTTTATAGGATTTTCAGCCAGTAAAGTGTCAAAAAGAACTATCCTCTTGTTCTTGAAGAATCCATAAAAATATGCATTGCTATGAGAGGATCTCTTGGATCCATCCACAATATAAATTTTGGTTAATGGAAAAGATATCCTGGCTGCTAACTGCTCAATTGCAGAGCGCAGAGTTCCTTCTGGAAGAAGAGTGAACTTGTCAAATAAAGGGGCTATGTAGTCCATGTATACTGTCACTAAAGCCTGAAACAGAACATCAGAATTTGTCAAATAGCCTTTTCAATCCCAGTAGTGATAAAAACAAAATTTCTTCTTACAGTTATTAGACATTTTAAAGCAAATAGGAACAGAGAAGAAAGAAAACATCAAATAAAGTTTATGTGCAATTCAAAACCAATTTCTTGGAGCTGAAGTCATCAGAAACAGATGGCTGACCAGATGGAGAATTGGATCACTCATAGCTTAGAAGTCAGGGATTTGATCAGGAGAAGGGATACTGGACACTATTAGCTTCAGAAGCATTCATCCCAGTGCACTGCTAGGTTCCTTGTCAAATAATATTTAGATGCTCAAGGAAGCTAAGGTAACCTTAAACCACTTAAAAAGTCTCCAAAGAAGGTTAATAATGCCATTCAATAACAAGAAATATAAGTTTATGCTTGAGAACAAAAACAGCTGTTTTTAGAACCACAAAAGTTGCAAAAGCAATGATCAATTTCTATTCTAGTTTATTTTCATTATGTTCTTATTAGTTTGCTACACAGGCATGTAAATTTTCAATGAATAACGTCAATTAATGCAAATTTTTGCACAGGTTTTCCAGCATACAAGCTGCACCACTAATTGGTTAAGCATTCAACACCAACGAGTGACCAAGACAGAATTTTTCTCCTAACAACATTCAGTGGACATGTGACAAGAATTAAGAAAAATATCAATTAGAAGATTATAAGATGATCCAATACCAAATTCTCCAAACTAACATCATGAGAATTGTATGGAAGATGGTAAGGAGAATTACTAATGAGATCTTGGGAGTGAAAGGGTTAAAAAGGGTCGGGAAAAAAAGTACTGCTTAAACACCACTTTTTATAATACTTAATAAATTGATGATCAGGAGTAAGGAGTTATCTACATACCAGGGTAACTATAAGTGTAAATATCCAAGTATAGATGAAGAAGTACTCTCCACCCCACTTGATGATGTAAAGTAATGCAGCAAGTAAAGGAAGTGATATCACCAGCATGACAGCCAGCTTCTTCACAGTATCCTTAAAGAAGAAGCCAAGAGTCTGTGGAGGAAGTTCCACAAAACAACTATTATTTCAACATCTTCATCAAATAGACATGTACAATAAGCTTAAGCATAATAACATTTTTGAAAATAAAATTAGCAATATTCAGTATGGCTTTCAGAACTTTTCTTGTAGCAACTAAACATCCACAGAAACTTATATACCATATGACAATATGTGTAATCAATACACTATTACACAGTTATACATATTATCACACTGGCAATAAAGTGTGCATTTCACCAAGCTGACCTGATCAATATTTTTGGGAATAAAAGAAAAATATAATGGCTGGTAGCTCAGAGATTGTATAAATTAAATCAGTTTTAGAAAGAGTTTAGCCACAAGGACAGAATTTAAGTGTAACTGAATGCAAATTTTTATGCAGCTGAATGCAATTGAAAGTGTAGCTACATATGTGCAATGTCATAAGTCTTAGTAATGACTCTATACAATATCCTTGAAACCCTGACTGTTCTCATGCAACACTTTGCAACATTCTTTAACAAACCTGCTTGTTGAAGCCGTGTTTCTCTTCAATAACAAATGTACTATACAGGCTCCAAGGAAGATCTGTGATGGTACTGAAAAGCATCCCGATCAAAAGAAATGCCAATGACTGAGTGATCTGTCCCAAAAAAAAAGACATTAACTATCAAATAACATTAATTTTGCATCAGTTTTTGTCAAAGACTGAATCCAAATGGAAGGAAAATTGTATAGCTAAGAGTTGATCTTCATCTTGATTTGCCCAAAAGGGCTAAAGAGCTCACAAGCCATGTGAGAGTCCATGCTGCCAAAGCATATCCTGGTTTCAGTAGCATGCTCCAATACCCTACAGTGAGTGGGCTAAGGCTAAGGCTCAAACCTTAGGATCCTGACTGAAGCACCCTTCACATTGTTCACCACATCTGTCCCCCTCCCTTCCAATGATTATAATTATACTAAATAATAATTTGATGATTCATAACCAAATGATTATAATTACACTCAATGATAATTTGACAATTCATCACTAAATGATCAATTATACAGATGTATGTGCTGTAAAGCCAGAGGAATCTAGTCATTATAATGCAGATTACATTTTCTACAAGGATAGCTAATTATATATATATTTTTCATCACCTTTATGACTTAACACACCTCATAATCAGTTGAATAACCAAATTTGGAAATCAACAGTCCAGAAATTCTCCACAAAAAAGGTATTCCACCAAGCAGTAGGATAAGCTGAAAGGATACAATTATGAGTAAACAAATAAATAGATGAAAATTAACATGTACCACATTAAAGCAAGGAACTAAATATATACATTTTCAAATGACAATGTGTCCATTTTGTAAATGGCAATAACTAGGAATTTGGCACAAAATGCTCTCCTCTTCAAGCAATCTTAGTAGATTTGGTTTGACAGGAATAACTGCATGTAACTGGACTAGTTGAAATATTCACTGAGATTTCCATCTTTAAGTGGAAAGTACATGTATGTTTGTCCTCTTTACAGCAATATTAGTAACCCGAGAAAATTTTTCACGCCTGTCTCAAAATTTCACAACATGATCTAAAATGACTGTCTACAAAGTTTAAACCCACAGTTCTCCATCTGAGCAAAAGACAGCCACCAAATCAAAAGTTAATTTTGAGCACTCATGAAATAAATATAGGCCCCCATTGTGGCATCTGGCTTTCTTTTTGTTCATTGCATAAAACTTTAGAATCAATGAACAGGTGAATTGAATAAATTCCTGATCAACTTTTGATGCAACATCAACTTCTACCTTTGTTTCAAAAGGAAAGAGAAGAAAATTTAAGAGGAGAATCCAGCTGCTCACCAGAGCTTCCTTAAAGCTTTGTTCCATGCAGCTCCTCAACTTAAATTAATATGATTGTAAACTCTATTGATGTATATATCTAACCGTTGTTTCTACTTGAGAATATGCTCCAGATACAAAACCAAATGAAGAGCGATCCAGCTGGTAAACCCGTGCTTTCTCAAATGACTCATGATCCAATGTATCTTTCAGCTCATCAGGAACATCCTTAGTGTACTTTAGAACTTTATGCTAATAAAAAAAAAGAGGAAAAATGATCATTAGTTGCATAATAGTTGAAAATAATTTTCCAGTTATCTTCATTGCCCCTTAAAAGAAACAAAAAGCTTCATCATCCATTTAGGCCAACTGATCTAACAATTATAATTTTCTTTCTCTGTTCTAAATACAGATCAACTCTAGGGACTCTTCAGGAGTCTCAAGAGAACAGAGTGAACCACTGGTTACAGTTTACTTAATTTCCTGCTCAAAAGTAAGTTTGGAAATTTTGGGAAGAGGGAAAATCAAGATGATTTTATCTCCTGCCAAAAATGTTGGATTTTCTTCTCGAAGATGGTTGTATCGTATGAGTATTTTTTTCATATTTTGAATTATTCATGTCTGTTTTAGTGAGTTTCACTTTTTACACAGAAACAGGGATAGAGGGGGATGTAATCTCTAGATATCCAGTGGCTTGCATTCTGTGTTCTTTTAATATTTCAGTGTGATACTTTTGAGAGTATGAATGATATAGCCGACAACGAAGTTCTTAAAAGATACTTTTGGAATTTTTCAATACAACTGCATGTGGAAATTTACTGATTATACTGTCTTGATAAGTGAAAATTGGTTTTTAACTGAAAGTGAAATCGTTTAATGACATATTTCAGTTTTCGAAAGCTATTGCTTTCAAAATTTTACTGGATATAATGCAAATTAGACGAAATAACAGCACTGGGGTCAGGAAAATTTTTAAATAAGGCGCTTATACAAATCTGCGGAACTAAAGCACATTGAAAAAACGAAATAGGGTACGGTTATGAAATTAAAAGTATGTACAACTCTCTTCAAGTACTTCTCTCTGGAAGTACGTCCAAAGATAACCTTGTCAAATAATACCTTAGCTAAAAAGATAATTACTTTCTATGTTTATCTAATGCCTTACCTGACGGTATGAGAGATAGTTTTCCCATAAATAAGTTAGCCACAAAAATCCGACCACAGCTAGAAGTACGTCCACCATTTTGGAAAAGAAAGTTAACACCGCGATTATACGAAACAGTGTTTTACCATTAGAAATAATGCGTGGCTGCGCAGTTTTATCCCAGACTCCCTCAGCTGATCAGTAGTCAAAGGTCAAATTGTTGTTGTTTTGATTAGTTATGGCGACGATTCGAAATGATCATTCCACCTGGATTAATTATAACTATAAGGTTTCAGCTCTTGACGCGGTTTTTGACATTCCAATGCGGTGTGTCAGCGCTTATTCTGTGTCAAAAGAAGAATTGTGGACAATTGTAGAGTAAAATATGGGTAATGGAGCTCAATCAAGGCCTGGAAACCCCACGAATATACAGCCAGCTAATGATTTCATAAGATCACAACGAAGTTGTGATATGAACGGTTATGTCGCTAATGGTGGTGAGACGAATCACGGCATATTTCAACCCTACGATGGTGTTCAATCTCAGCATTTTGCTTCACCTTTCATTAGAAATGAACCTTCATCTTATCATTCCGGTCCATATGACTCAGCTGATCATTTCGATGACTACGAAGTAGACATGAGTATCGAGCGTGCGGTTGCTCCGCATTCCCGATCATGTTCCCAATCGTATCGCGGGATGGACAGACCAGACGGGCCAGTTTATCGTTCAACTTCAAAAGGAGTTTATGAACAGTCAAAAATCGGGAATAGAAATCGATTAGCCGACCAGGCAGGAGGGATATCAAATTCAACTTCTGATGACATTGTATTTGAGGTCTTTCATTGCCTAAAGACGGGAAAAGATTACAGTGTGATAAATTTGGAAGGTCAAAGGTATTTCGTCGACTCTTGGAATTCAGGTATATATCTCCGGGTAGCAACAGTGAGCATGTGTTTTCCTATGATGTTAGTGGTGAAAATTAAGGGAATAAAGGGGAGGTGGGGCCAGAGGGGGTAGCCGTTGGGGTATGCTACAATGTTCATGATGCTTACTTGCCCAGACTTGTTTTAGGATCACTAAATCACTTTGCAGCCTAAAATGGAGATTATATAATTTTTTCAGTTCTTGTTTCTAAATGATTTCCAAAGTAATAATAATAGTACACATGTTCTTGGGCATAAATGTCTTTTGGGCTCTTCTCAGGGCTCATTTTAACTTTTAAATTACTCTGAGTGGGGCCCAAAACATATGTGTGCATAAAAGCATAGTTTATCTTGTTTCATTATACCTCTAAGACCCATGAGAATGTGGAAAATCTGATAGGATTATGGCGGAACACAATATTCTCCTCTAAGTATTGTCTGAGAATATGATTTTGAAATTACTTAGGGTCTGTATAGATAGGCAAGTGGCCAAGATTCTGAGAAGATCACTCACCTGACCAAACAAATATCAACATATTTACCCAAAGTGACATTTTATTAAGGTGAACATCATCAGTATGTTCATTGACCCATTGCCTTTCTATGTGACACATCAGGAAATATGAACCAATTAAGAAAGTTATCAATTAATCCTGTTATTTGTGGGGATACTCACTATAAAGGAGGATTGGAATTATCTACTGTGCTCTGTTCTGCTCTTCATTGTAGCTAAAAGGAGTATCATTTCCTATGGAAGGGTTACCTCTTGTTCAAATGTGTTACATTCAGGGTAGAGCATCCTCATTGAAAAATTTTGTTGAGGCCTCTCTTGGCATATGATCTATCATATTCATCCAGGGTTGGTATAAACCAGGTATTGTGTGGATAAGGAGAGCCTCCAGGCAATAAACAGACCACTAGTTTTGTTAACCCTTCAATTCCTAAGATATGATTGTTGATTCTCCCCTGTAGCTGCTACACATTTCCTTGTAAATTAGTTATGAGAACTTGGTGCTAGATCAAGATAGTAGCTTCTACCTGATAAGTTTGAATATTCTCATTACCTGTTTGCTGAAGAATGTATGGATATTGTAAGGAGAAGTTTTGTGTTAATCACTTCTGGGAGTTAAAGGGTTAATAATATGTATTCTGTTATTGCTTCTTACATATAGGTAATGAGTTGCAGCCATTTCCTGAGGAGTGGTACCAACACGGTTACATAGAGAGTGACCAAAGACTAGAAACAGGAGAGTATGGATATGATGACACAGCTCATGGTGCTGCTATGCAGTCACAAAGTGCTTGGGTACCAAGATGGAAAGATGATCGCATGGGGTTGATGGAACATCCATCTAGAGGTGCAGTGCTCTTTATTGTGATTACATGTATTGTTATGGGGAAACTTTTTGTTGTAGTATGATTGGCTAATTTTACATGCATTACTGTGCTTTTGAGGTATCAATGGTGTTTCAAGACGAGGGGTTGGGGGGGGGGGGGTCCAGAATCTTTCCTCACCCCTCATGCCTATCAAGCCTGTGGATCTAGTGGCCTGTTCATTTACGTTCATGGCTAGTGTGAATTTAAGAAAAGGGTTAAGGAGTCATCATAACTGTCAGTTCTCACTGGTAACTTATGACTTAACTGCATTAATGTACAAATTTGTTCTGAATCTTATTCTAGGACTATTGACTACGTACTTTGAAGAAACTAAGTTGAATGTACTAAGTGTTTACGACCAACATTCTGGCACATGGTTGAAGATGCCTCTGTCATGGGAGATGTATGTACCAGATGTAAAATCGCGGCTGGTGACCATTCAGGAGACATTTCCATATTGGACCGATACCTCTGAGATACTTGCGTTGTTGAGACAGTGTAATTATGATCTTGATGAGGTCCTTAACACTTACATGACGCTGTTTGAGGACGCGAATCCCACTGAAGAGAAGACTCCTTTGAAGCTTGCAAATAGCTCTGCGATTAGTAAAGAGCAAGCAGTGGAGATGGAAGGCTTGACGAAAAGAATTGGACAGCTAGAGGAGCAACTCCGAGATAAAGATTCTCAGTTGCAAGAGTCCCAAAGGAAGAATTTGGACTTACAAGAAAAGCTTAGATCAGCAGAAGAACTAGCAAGAAAACTTCAGATCAAAGGGACAAGTTTACAACGGGAGATTCAGCAGCTTAAATCTGCGCAAACACAACCTCAACAACCAGTTGTGGCAACGATTGCCGTGGCGACTCCTAAAGAGAAGAGGGTTTCTAAGGATACTTGTCTGAATATCAAGTCCTCTATTAAATTCTTTTCTGAGAAGTTAGCGGAATTGCGGAATTGTTTTTCAAGCGAAATGGATGGACTTTATTCAGTTTTAAATCAGGCGCAAGGGTCTTTGCGTAAGATGAAACAACAAAACCAAGGCTCTAGCAAGGAACTGATAGAACTGCGCGCCTTGTACCATAAAGAGATACTCGAAAGAAAACTTTTGTACAATAAACTCCAAGAACTCCGCGGTAACATCAGAGTATTCTGTAGATGCAGATTTGATCCTAATGCAGATGATGTACTTAATTTCTCCACGGACCAAGACATAAGTTTGGTATCAGCAATGGGACAGAAAAAGTCCTTCAGATTTGACCGAGTTTTTTTTCCAACCAGTACTCAGGAAGAGGTCTTTCAAGACACTCTTCCTCTTATTACGTCATGTGTTGATGGGTACAATGTTTGTATCATGGCTTACGGTCAAACAGGTACGTGTTCTTAATGCAATCTTTAAAATCATTCCTTTAAGGCCACCGTTTCTCATCTGAGTGGCACAGGAGGGAACATAAAGTGCGGCATTGAATATTATTTATCTGGTGGTCTTTGAAAAGTTTTGCCCTCTGCACATTTTAACTCCTTAGTTTTTAAATATTTTTTCTCCCTCGATATCAGCCTACAGACGTCTTTGTTGTCGGAAACGAACACCGCTATTTAGGTGATAAAGATTTCTCAACTTTATTGCCCAATAATAGTCTGTTTCGTCTTTTTATCACAATGAGATTTTGGGCGACGTGACTAATTATCTCGGGCAACCTAACTCAAGTTTAGTTTCGGGCGAGATTACTTTTGGGAGACTTGACCAGATGTCGTTATATTTACCCCTCAATGTAAGCGGTTCTTAATTTTTGGGTGTTGCAACGGTTCTACTTTTGTGGTAAATGAGCATCGACTTTACTTTCTTTTTTAGGCTCAGGGAAAACGTACACAATGATGGGGACAAACGAAGATCCCGGAGTAAATATCAGATCGATTCTGGAACTCCTTCGGGTATGCGACGAACGAACCACCGTGGACTATACTATGTGTGTTTCTATGGTGGAAGTTTATAACGAAACAGTGAGGGATCTGCTCAGTGAGAGTGGAAGCTCACAACAACTGACCATTCAGATGAGGAACAAACAACTGGTCATTACTGATGTCACTGAAGCTAATGTCAAGTCTGCTGCAGATATCAAAGGCATCATGGAAAAGGGTAAACGTTTTTTCGATGTCTGACATTTGAGTTATCTTTACCTGTGCTATCCAAAAGGCGGTAAAAAGGAACTTTGAACGCTTTTTCACATTGAGATCCATACATGACTGAAACTAACACTTTCCATGTTGAAATTGCTTTAAGAATAGATTGAGACTGCCTAACCCTTAACACCTAATATCAGTGTGCACATTCTCCGCACTGTCCTCGTGCATATCCCAAGCCGCTGACAGGAGAATTAGCTATTAACTTATCAATCAAGAACTTCTTGAGGTAATGATCATTTCTTCTATTTTAGTGATCGTAACGCTTAATTCAGGGTGACGCGGAAAGGAGAAATTAAATGCTAATCACTCTGAGGCGCTAATGATTGAGTTTCCGAAAAGGAGTCCTGAGGTTCTAAGAAATGAGCCCAAGTGCTTCATATTTTCGTCAAAGGGGGGCAAAAATCAAATGTTTACGAGCAATTATCCAGCAGCAACTCTCTCTTTTTTTGTGTTTGCAATTTCAGGTGACTCGAACCGTTCAGTGGGTGCTACCAAAATGAACACAAACAGCTCCCGCTCCCATTTGTTACTCCTCTTGAAGCTTCATGGCACAGATCGCGTGACAAATGCCGTCACGCGCGGTACGCTGACCCTTGTAGACCTTGCTGGCTCAGAGAGGATCTCCAAAACTGAAGCCACAGGACAAAGGCTCGTGGAAGCAGCAGCTATCAACAAATCTCTTTCAGCGCTGGGTCAAGTATTTGCAGCGTTAAGAACGAATGCAATGCACGTACCTTACAGAAACTCTAAGTTGACTCAATTAATGCAGAGCTCTCTTGGGGGGGACGGTAAGGCGTGTTTGTTTGTTAATGTTAGCCCGCTCGCCAGTAACCTTAGCGAGACAGCGAGCACGTTACAGTTTGGATCAGCGGCTAAGCAAGTTGAACTTGGAAAGGCCAAACAGAACATTACCTAAGCACCAAAGAAAAACTAACCGGATAAAATTAAGAGTTTAAATCAACAAGGACTGATTGACATCCAAATATCTATCGATCCTTGAGTGTTCCTAGACCAGCTTACCGAAGGTTTCAACGACTTCACGAGCCCTGAGCCTTCTGATAATATCTTAATATTAGAGTAGGGCAGATCTTGGCTCAAAAATCAGTCAGTTCTGTTTTGTTTCCTTTTATTTACACTTTTCAAATTTCAAAACTCTTAGGCCGGTTATTTACACGAGGTCCAACCCAAAACGCGGTTTTACGCAAGCAGTGAGTCTCAGGAATTTTCTTGAAGAGGGTTAATTTAATTTAATAAATTTCCTCTACTATTAGCTTCACAAAGATAAATATTCAGATAAAAGGTTTGGCTAAACTGAAGATGGCTTAGAACGTAGTTTTGTTAAACAACGGCTAAACTTTGTTTAAATAACAAGCCCTTAATGAACCGATCTTGAATTTAAACACAGCAAACAAAAAGCTGAGCCTTTCAGGGTCGGTAACTCCCGCAACTTTCTAGAAACGAGTCCTTGAAGGGGAATAACTAGCCAAACAGTTTTTAAAGTTAAAAATTTATTTTCCTACCGTTAACCCATTCACTCCCAAGATCTAAAGATAAACTCTCGCTACTGTCTGCCTTACATTTCTTATGATTTTAGCATTGAGAATTTTTTGTTGAATCTAAAAATATTCTGCAATGTATATATTTTTGATCTTATCACCTCTCTGCTTAAAGACATATCGGCAGTGTTGGGGGAAATTTCTCATCGGTCACACCCAGGAGTGAAAGGGTTAATTTGGGAAGCAGGTGTATTTTTATTAAAAGCGTTTCGTGTTTTTATGATGTATTATTCCTTCTAAAAATTTATAGCGTGGATATTGATTTTTATAACAAACATCGAAAAGATTTGGATTCAACAATAATTTATTATTATCCGCCGCAAATATGACAAGATAAAAACTATATTTTACAACATAGAAAATGCCAGCAGGTTGAACTAAAGTAATCTTCATTACACGTAAATTTAAGGACTGAGTTGTCAACCAGTCTTGCTTGCCTCACTCTCTTCATTTCAATCACAGACGATTTCTGGTGTTGTAAAATCGCATCTGAACCATTGACAGTTTTCGATCAGAACAAAGTTCAAATTCCTTTCGCCTGTAAAGGATCTGCTATTCAGCGGACATCTTAGGGATGCGCCAAATCTTTTTGGCTTCTTGTAATGTGTTCCATTGATTTGATTGGTCATTCTGATTACTTAAGTTTTCGAAAAGCGCTCTGCTGTTTTTGCATTGGTTTTGACTCCCCTTTGTAAAAGACAGTTCGTTAATCGCTTTAAATGTAAACACGACCGCATAACCCAGCCTTTTACAACGTTTAACGCGAGATAATTATGAATAAAACGGATGATAAAGTATTAAAATCTCCCTTTTTTTTGACTTACGATGATATTAGTAAAAATCGTATTTACACTCTAGTTACCTTTTCAAGGTAGATGGTATCTCTGTTTCACTCTAAGAAATTACAGAGATTCGGAAAGGCAATTGGTTCCGAATTAGATAGAGCCATGAAGGCAAACTGACCAGAAAATTCAACGAAAAAAGAAAAAAAAAATGTAGAAAGAAGATACCCACGGGGCATTTGGTGCCCAACAGAACCAACCTTAACTCTTTACATCCTTACATGAGGATAAATATTCTCCATTCCGCCCTCTCTACATTTCCTGTTGTACTGAAGAGGGGAACTTGTTAGATCATCGGGAGCTTCTGAAGCTGAGGATCATGCATTTTGTTTTTTTTTCTCGTGATCTCTATGTTTAATTCAGGGTTGATGCTGAGAGGAGAAATTAGACGATACTCACTCTAATGGGTTAAGGGATTAATTATTCCAAAAGGACTCCTGATGTTATTTGCATGAGGAATGGAAAATAGCAAAGGAAAAAAGAGAGGCGGTCTTAAAAAAAAAGAGAAAAGAAAAAGAAAAAGAAAAGAAAGGAATGGAAGAATGATGGGGGATGAGAGGTAAAGGTTTGTCCCCCCAGAATTCCCTGCACGCTTGCTCTTATCCACCCTGAATTTCTGTACATTTTCTATCTTCTTGTCCAATCCCACGACTTTAAAAAAGAGAGCTTCAGCGTTATAGAAACAAGTGCCCTTTCACAAATTTTACATATGATTATTTTCCCCATATTATTGTTATTACTATTGGTCAGTTGATAAAATGTTTTCCCTGCCAAGTTTTAGGAAAGTGTTTGGTTGGTATTAACTGGCATAATACACATCCAAAGTTTCAAACAGAGGTTCTGAGAAGTCCAGTGGGGGGTCGGGTAAGGCTTTGTCAAAGCCTTCTTTACCAACCAACCAGTAAGTAGTCACCAGTCCTTGCCTCTGTCAAATAGGGACAAAGAAAAGAAAAACACGATGTAAAAATATCGATAGGCCTTGTGCACGTTTACGTCGAAATACGCAATTTTACCGCTAAGCCTCGCTTTCAAGATGTGGACTGTTTATTCGGACACTATATTTAAAACAATACCCTCATGGAAACAACAGAGACAAGTAACAAAGACTTGTGAATATTCTGGTGCAAACAAGGCTTGGGTGCGTACTCTGAGTAAATGACGCCAGCTATTGAAAGTACATTGAGAAGAACATTAGTTTGATTTATCAAACAAACAAAATTACAAACCGTAATTGGAGAGGGTTCAGTTAATTCGAAAGAAAAATGCTATATTCTTTTTCGTCAGGTTTTCAAACGCACCGAGCCTCCATCTGTGTTCGTTGCATTCGCAGCGCTGTTAGTGTGCGCCATGGATTGAAAACAGAAATTCCTTGAGCGTCATTTGTCTAACAGTTGGAGAACCGCGTCTCAGAGGGGCGGGTAGAAAAATAAATTGCCTTTTTACGTTTAACTTAATTGACTGTTAAAGTGTCATCAAGCATGGAGAATAGTCCCTTTAGTCAGTTTCTTATATCACCTCCGAGATATTTTTTTTACCTTAATCTGGACCTGTCCCCTCTCCTCTAGATAAAAACCTCCAACTTCAACCAACCTCGAATGTGACTCGCTGCTCACGTGGATGCGCAAAGCTTGAGAAATGTATGAATAAGAGAATCATCATAAGAATATACAAATATTACCAAAACTTAAATACCTGCTTCAAACTTGGTCGATGCGTTTCTAAGATATTCAACCAAATAAGTTCACAGAAAAAGATCATTAACTCTATCGTTAAAGGCCAAAGGTCTAATTAATGTATCAGACCTTCCACGGCCAATTAGAGCACCTAAGGGTCAGAGTGATGGAACGCATAGAGCATGCGCAGTACTTACGCAGACAGGTGCTTTCCAGCTTAGATGCGATGTTGACCGTGTGACCATAAAGGCAAAACCGTGGCATGGTCACACCAACAACTGCCGCCACCACTGGACCTGTAAATCAAATCAAAATGAAAAGCAAGTTATACATTCAAACCTATGTTGCTACATCGCGGCGTCAGTGCAGTTGCATGCGATACGGTTCAGCATAAGAGCGCTTTTCGATTGAGTGTCGTAAAAACCAAAACCAAAGTAATCACAACGGCCAATCAGAAGAAAGGGAAATACCTTTAAGAACCAATGAGAATTCAAAGCAAACAACCTGACCGCCTATGGCGTGGGAAGACTCTGATTGGTTGAGAACGTAGCGCGAGTTTTCTAGACCAACCACATAACGAAGTAAAGCAAAACCAAAGCAATACAGGATTATTTTCGACGCTGAATTGAAAATTGCTCTAAACAGCCAAGTTCAAGGAAAAAGGGACAAGGGATCACCTATGACTTCATGGAGAAAAACAATGCAGAAAGAAAATGATGACATGAAAAGGCGAACAACTAATCAAAGGTCCAGAAATCCTACCCGTGTTGATGCCAATTCGCAGTTGCAGTTGATGGTCTGGCAGATGTCGCACACGAAATACAGTCATGTGACTGAGAAGCTCTAGTGCCATGCTCGCAATTTCACTAGCATGTTTTATCCCATTCTTCTTAGGACAACCGCTGACAACAACGTAAGCATCACCAACTGTCTCCACCTGAAAAAGATAAACTACCATTTCAATGTTTTTTAATACAGTCCCTATTTATTTTCACGAAACCCTCTAAAAGGTGGTGCTTCTTTCACGGCAAAGAAAAAACGCCGGAAAAACCTCCGGGTCTGGAGAGAGAGGCTGGGTTCGATATTACGGACTTTAAGGGAGAGAACAACAGCAAAACCACGTTTTACAAATTTCAGGTAAATTTTCTCAATGTGAGTTTACCTTGTATACGTCAAAACGACTGATAATTTCATCAAAGGACACATACAAATCATTCAAAAAGCCCACAATCTGCAAAGGGAAAAAGAGAGAATTATTAGCGTATTTGTTCATAGGTCTGTGTTCATCATAAATCCAGTGATTTTACTTATTGTTTCAAAGTAAACTTTGGCAAATATCTCTTCGAGGTTTCCGCACACTGAGGAGCTGCTTCCCATACGAGTCATAGAGAGACGCCTTAATCATCAAGACCTTCCCAAAATAGTCCATTTTAAAGCTGTGTGCTTGGTTGCCAAGCCTTTGAACAGGAGTGAGGCCAAGGTTGACCTTGTCATGATACAAACCTTGCTGCTTTCCAAATGCATATTACTTTGTTATCATGCTAACTAGATGCTGGTCTCCATCACAACAAGGTCACCTTCAGCCCACAACTGTGAAATGGCCTATTGGTACATAACTATGGCTGAACGCTACACCCGACCCAAGTCCCCATGGTGTAAGTCACGTGATTTAATGCATAGAGACGTTAAGATTTATCAGCATCCATTGTGTAGTTCCATACCTCTAGCGGGGTACTCATGGAGGCCAGCTTAGTGAAGCCGACAATGTCACTGAAGAAGATGGTAACTTCCTCAAATCCCTCGGCCTGCACCGTGTTATCAGACTTCAACTGGTCCACTACCAAACTAAGAACATGAAAAGAAAACTTTCAGGGCAGTTATCAACTGAGTGTCGAGAGAAATCCGGGTTTTTTTTAGCTTTGCTTCACTGCGTCATTTGATTGGATAAGAAACTTATGTCGTCTTTGTTCTGAATTAATTAGATACAAAATTTACTCCAATCGCGCTCAGTTTCTCACGTTTTTGTCGCGCTTGAGTAAGGTTTAGTGATTTCGTTTCAAGTTCTAATTGGCTGTTGGTGATAGTTGTCTTATTTCTCATTGGCTTTTGTGATATATTTGGGTTTACAAGATTCATTCAAAAAGTACGACATTCAATCGTTTAAACAACACTTTTCGTCTGAAGCAACTCTGTTCCATGACTGGTCCAGAAAAGTCGCAACACTTTTTGATCTCATTGTCCCTTCTCTATACGAAGTCTTTGCTTTTCTCTTACGACTGTCGTCGCATACGGCAAGCTAACTTTTAGTGTTTTTTTTTTCTACTTACGGTGGGAGCAATCGGTAGAGGATTTTCTCTGTTTTTTCTTTCTCCTCATTTAACTGCCTGGTTCGTTCCTCCACCAGCTGTTCCAAGTGATTAGCATGCTTCTCCATCATAGTAACCATGTTTTCTATGATGTTAGATCCTCTGAGGAAATAATTCGTGTCAGGTTTGATGTCAATGAAAATTATATGCGATGCAGGACTGATGCAGGGGTGTACCTAGGATTTCTGACGAAGTGGGGGAGGGGGGTCCAAACTTAATGTCCTTATGACTTGTGCAGGCATTCCAGGTCTTTTCTTTATCATAATGAATCATTTTTCTTGGCAGTTGGAAGAGTCACGTGCATATTCGTTATTCCAAACGTATGTCTTAAAACGGTAAATATGATTAAAAAAAAATTTATGTACTTCACTGAGATGTACCTGCCACTTTCTTTCTTGAGCCGCTCTACAATTCGGTAAAAATGCGGCCTTTCCTCGGGTTCGTCATTCCAGCAATCTACCATCAGCTCTATGTATTCCGGCTTCATTTCCATTGATGGAACATCAGGACGGAAAGGAGGATCCTCATGAGCCACAACACGGTGAATTATTACTGTTTAAGGGGAGGATTGCAAAAGGTGAATACGTAAATTGGGGCAGGACAATTTTCGGTTGCGATGTCTTTCTCCATGCAAGAGTGTAGACAGATACCGGTGAAATTTTAGGGAAAATTGACAAATCGCTGATGTATTCTACAAGTGATTGACCAGCATCCCGTCTTTGGAATGCAGCAATACTCCCAGTCACTTGATGCGACTAAAAATTGGGGTAAGCTCCGGAAGAAAATAGGTAAAAATACCTCAGAAAACTTCACCAACCATTTCTATCCAACCCAGTTCACCCACCTTTAGGTTGTAACATTTTTCTGCTGTAAGGCTCCGAACGAAAGGACATTTCTTGAAGTAGTATTCCATAGCTGTACACATCTCCTTTCTGGGAAAACCCCTCACGCTCCACCTTACTGATATTGATGTGCTCAGGTGCAGTCCACAAGAGATCTAACATGTCATAAGAAACGGTTGTACCCATAAGCTAGATTCTTAGCCAATGTCTTTTATTAGGTTAGCCAGTGTCTTTTGTTGACCTACTATTACTGACAAAAGCTCTTAACATGCTTCAATTATCAGCCATACTTATGGTCTTTGTCTAAGCCTTTGCCTCGTTTATAGAAGTTGGTTGGAGAGGTCCAGTAGGTCAAGTATCGAATATTGACTTCTCGATTCAGAGGACTTAGTAGACGAAAACCTCTGATTAAGTTTACAAAATACGTTTTCGATTTTTCTGAGTAATAAATTAGCAGCTGTCTACGACAGAAGTGAATAACGATTCATATTCATGTATTGGTTGGCTACGGGCAGAAAAAAAAATTAAAAAAAAACCCACATTCTTTAAAACACAAGTGAACAAATATGAGAACATTGTAGACTAGATTGCTGACTTTAATTCAAAATGATGTAAACGCCAATCGAACGCAACATATCGATTCTGTAAAAATACGTCGACAGACTCCTCCAAACTCACGAGCGTGGCATAGATGCAAAGATGAGACTTACCATAATACATCTTGTGCAAACTCTTGGTATTCTCCTGTCCAGCTTTGAATTCATGCAAACCCCAGTCTGTGATCTTGACAACCCAGTGACTGTCAATCACGCATCGAGTCGAAGTTAGGTTGCCATGGAATTTGACAGAGGTGTTGTGAAGGTATTTCATGCCCTATAACATAAAGTAAAGACGAATGATCCTTTAGAGGAAATATTTTCTTATCATTGCCACGACGACACAAAACAGTCAGCAAAATAGTGAATAATGGATGCTCTACTTAAATTATTTCGAAATCTGGATCACCTCTTAAAGTGACCTTCTGAAATTTTCAGTATTGGTTCTGAGCCTCTCCTCCAATTTGTCAATTTTGATCTCTCGCCAATAATGAAAGTGAGGCTCACATAGTTACGTCTGATGACTCAACAGAGTTTACTTTTGCTCTGATAAACTATCACAACTGGTACTGTTGCTATGATTACCCATCAAAAACAATTTTGAAAAAAAGCCTCTTAATGCCGGTTAAAGAAGAACACAACCAAGATATTAGTTTTGTTACACTTATTGACTCCTCTCTATAAGAGACCAGTCACTATTCATTACAGAACCGTAAGGGGGAGGGGGGGGTGCAGGTGACACAACCAAAATCCTCCAACCCCCCCCCCCCTCCCCACCCTTCTTTTTCCTCCTTCCCCCAGGCGTTAAAACAAAGACCCGCTCCAAAACTACAAAAATAGACCTGGATCGGATTACTTCGAAATGTGATGGGATCAAAATCGCAGCACAATAGTCCCTGGAGGGTGTTCCCGTGATTTTATCACCACATTTAAACTTCTTCTACAACACTTTTTTGGCATGATAGAAAAGAAAATAAATGATCTCATTACCGCCGCGATGTCGATGGCCATGGACAGTTTGAATCCATAGTCGATCTTATACTCATCGTTAGCCAAGACGTCCTAATCAAAATAAATGAACAATATTCCATGAAAAGTATGAATTTAACAATCAAGAGCTTCTTCAGTTGGTGATTATTTCCTTTATATTGAAGGGGTTAAAGGGTTAATGCCAATAAAACTGTATAAGTACTTACCTTTAAGCTTCCCTTTTTGCAGTACGACCAAACCATCATAATGTTGGGTGACTCGATGCACGCTCCAATGAAGGGGTTCAGGTTTTCATGGCTGATGTCCCGTACCTTAAAGAAAATGTTATTCAGTTACTGTGCACTACGACACCGTCGTAATGTAACGTGACTACATGGTGATAAACTAAGGTGCATAGATCAGAATATTAATTTTCACAAAAGAAAAAATAAAACGCTGAATAAGTCATGAGTATAAATCCCGCTTCAGGCAGAAAAGGTGTTGACCGTTCTCTGTAGCTGTAACACCCCAGTTACCATATCATGATGAACTCATCACATAAACACTTCACAAGTCTGCGATTTTCCACTTATATCTCTGAAACGTTAAGGGAAAATACAGTTCTTTGAATTTCTTTCCATGCTCTAAAACAACTTGCGCGACAGTGGATTTCTAAAGGCTTATATATTTACTAACCTGTTTGAGCTGAATAAGAATTTCTCGAGTCATGTGAACAGTCTTCTTGTTCAACCGCTTTATTGCTACAGTTCGACCCTTAAAAAAAGCGAAAAAGGCCGAACAGATGAAAGAAAATTCAAAGCTATCAGACCGAAATGATTAAACCACATTTCGAACTTCTATTTCTAGCTAAATATGGCTCTCAAACACCTAACAGGCGCTACCTTCGCATTTTTCAATGATATCCACCGACTTTCACGTTTGCAAGGTCCCTCGTTCTTCTAATGTTCTTATGAACCACCTCCTCAGTGGCAGTTAATTGGCAGTCGATCTTCCATAGTCCCTCCCTTATACTCTTTTGGCAACGACTGATCCCTCGTTCGTTCCCCCTGAAAACAGTATGACCCCCCTAAATCCTCCACTACCCCCCCCCCCTTGCGAAAAATAACGACGGGTCCTTTGTATCAAAAGGTCTGGCTTGATGTATTGCCTTTCCTCTCCGTCACTTTGAGTAAATAGCTACTTTACCCACGAGACCGTCCCGGCTTCGTAATTTTCTTACTTGATAGTTTCCGATTGTGGTGAAGATTTGCTCTGTGTTTGCTGATGCGTTGGAGGCGGCTGTAGTTTGCTCCTCTTGAATCAGTGGACTGGTGAAAGGCTTGACGGCTTTGATCGTGTTCACGTTCAACTCTTCCTTGGTCTCTGTTTGCTGAAAGGTCAAGTTAGTGAGATGAAAGGTTACACCTCTTTTGAAATCGTAGAATTCCATTTCCCTGACTTAACATCGAGAATTTAGTCGCGAAATACTTTGAAAACGACCAGGTAGTAAACGCTTTTTTTTTGTTGTTGTTTATTCAAATTTTATGACTTTCGAGGACTTACCGGTTACGGTCCCGCTTTTCTAGACCACTCTAACTCGAAAGATCAGACTTATCGTTCAACTATTAACCTTTTGTTTCCACTTTAAGTTCTCACTGGCTCTCTATGATATTTTGCTTTATCTTGATTGACCTCTGTGATTACTTTGGTTTTCGTTTTATGACACTCAATCGGAATGCAGTCTCTACATGCACTCGTCTAGTCTTTGAAAAATTTATATGTGCTTATTTACACCAATTTATACGAGAAATCGTTAGGTTACTTGTTAATAATTTACATGAAAAACGCATCACATGAAGTCAAGACGAACGAAATTTTGCCAGCACACGTACGGTATTTGTAATTTGGACTCATGTGACACGGAAAATGCACTCGTTTTCAGCCAATCCGACGCGCGTAATTTTTTCATGTATATTGTCAAAATGGTTACAACGTGGAAACTCACTGGAAGGGGACGAACAGTCGATGGACTCCGCTTGAAAGTTGTCACTCCCTGTGACTGTGCTTCTCCTGATCCACTGTGATCTTGAATATGCAGATCATCATAACGAAGTTTCCATGACTTGTTCTGCGCCAGATCTGTTTCATAGCGAAGTTTCCTGCAAGCGAATAAGTTTACTCAAATTATATTTTGTCAGAGATAAAAAAAATTCTATTTTTGAGTTAAGTTTTTAGTTATTGAAGACTTTGCCTAAGAATATAGAGTTTCTCTTGTGTGATGAATCTGGGAGTTTCGCATGTATGTTTGCTTAGTTCACTTCAGCGTCTTTCTCTACTAAGAGCATGCGTTAGTAATTAAGGCGACTTGCAATGGATTATCCTTCCATCTAGGTGGGGGTTTGAGGTGTGGGGTTGGAGGGGGGGGGGGGGGGTTTGGAGGGGGAGGGTTGGGGAGAGGATGCAATGCCGGAAATCGCTTCCTACTTTGGATACCAGGAACAGAGGCGTCACATGTGCGTTACTAGATTTCAGGGAGTCATCGTGTTAACTGTATATGCAGCATAGGAATCGTAATGTCGTAGGTTTAGAGAATAAATTACTTACCTGATGATGAGGAAAAACATAAGTGCTAACACCACGACACCAGCGGTAGACGCTCCAATGACTACATTGACCAACTGTTGAGTTGCTAGATTGAAAAGAGAGGAAAAATGAAGAATAATGTAAAGAAGATGATGTGTTCTTAAGCCTGGTGACTAAATCGAAAGATGATGTCGTTCAGTCAGACATACTGCAGATGTACTTGAAGTCACAGAGGTTTAATGTGAGTGTCGTAAGACCAAAAGCAATGTAATTGCAAAAGGATTTTCACGAGGAACCAAGGAGTAAATCAAGCGAACTGCTAAAAGCTCGGAAACCGGCATGAGTGACACTGTGGAGATTGCTTCCACTTTAGGATCCGATTGCCAGGTGAGAGGGTGGCACCAGTTTTCTACGACTATCGCATGGGGAAGAAAAACGAAATATATGCAATACGAGATTTCTTACAACTCCCGCAAGAGAATTTCTTTTGACCACGCTGATACGATATCAGCAAGTGAATGCATTCTTACCTTCTCTTCCTTGCTCGAGGCACAATTCTTTCTCCCATCCACACCTTGGCTTATCAAGAGGAGGATTTGTGCGTCCTCCTGCCCAGATCACTCTCACGTCTATCAAGTGAAGTCACATCAGCACGTTTCTTACTAACAACAGGAATTTCTTAAATAGCTTCTCTCCTCCCCACCCATCATCTAAGTAGATGATGATGAAGATTTTAAATTGAATCTCGAGCCAAAAAAACTGCATTGGCTTTGGGTTTTCATTGCTTCTTTGGGCCGTGTTGACACGACTGGCCAAAGCTCGATGTTTTAGGGAAGGAAATACTGAACACTAACTGCCTGAAGCGATTGGATTTAGTTACGTATCTGATTAGTTGAGAGGGTGGTGTGGATTACATGTAACGCTCAACTGAGAATAGATCTGTCTCGATGCGTCTGGGATTACCTCTTAAATTGAAGCCTCCAGTGGAGTGATTGTAATCAGCGATGTTCTGGAAACTTCCATTCACGTAATACTTGAGAGAATAATCTGGGTCACGATCACCCGATTCGTCGATTCGAACTGTCCCCGAGGCACCTGGTTTATCAAAAATGACCAAATTAAAAGTGTTCAAAATCATAAAGAAACAAAGGAGCAATCTTGAATGCCAACTCGAAAAAAGAACTCGGAAATTGATGTTTAAATTTTAAATTAAGCATCAAACAGTTGTAAACTGTTTAAAATGACTAGTTTATAATCTTTCTTTGTTTCCGAGGAGTTTCCTTAAATAATCTCAATTTCATGCACTCGACCCAGTTTCTTTCTTCCTCAAAGAAATTCGATTTCATACACTCGACCCAGTTTCTTTCTACCTCAAAGAATCTCGATTTCATGCACTCAACCCAGTTTCTTTCTTCCTCAAAGAATCTCGATTTCATGTACTCGACCCAGTTTCTTTCTACCTCAAAGAAAATCTCGATTTCGTGCACAAGTTCAAGTTCTATAACGCACAAGTTCCTTATTTCATATGGAACTTGGGCTATTTCAGTGTCAAACAAACACGAACCTTCAAATTCCATGTTGAGCATTCTGTGCACAATAGCTTGTCCATCTTTTTTGTCCCCTCCAGCTGCCAAGGTCTCATTCAGCGCAATGGCGTACAAATAAATAGCATCGTATATAGCTCCAGCGTACACCTCCACCTACACCGCAAAAGAACGCAGTTAGTGGATAAACCGTAGATGGGGATCCGGTGACTGCTCACGATCAAACACTATGGACTTGGAATAACAATCTTAATAGAGTGAGAGAACAAACAACTAAGGCGACCTGATCTGTAACATTTAAGAGAAAAATTTGTGATATGGTTTTTGTTTTCCTAACCCTTGATTCCTTAAAGTGACTAACAACCAATTTCTCTTTGTTACATCACTGTTGAAGCAAACTTATGGGTCTCGAGAATAAAGGAAACGGTCGCCATTTAAAAAAGCTCATGATTGTTTAACAAATTCTTCTTGTTAGTCTCAGGAGGAATGTATAGCGAACAGTATGGAGAATATACATGCTGATGTCAGGTTGTAAAGGGTTAATTGAAACATTTTTAGTTTAAACGCTTATTTCAATTCGTGTTTTAGATTAATTATTTTTTATTATCATCAATATTATTGCCATCGACAGTCTCTGCAATTCAGCGGACAGCATACCTCAGTTGAGTTGAAACGGTTTTTTTTAAATATACATGAGTCGGTGATAAAATATCAACATTTTCTTTATAGTCTCTGAACACGTAAATTAATCATTTCTTCATGCTCCCGAAGCAAGTTCCCTAAGATTATCTCGTTTTCTGCCAATTTTTGACCAATCTGTACCCTTCCATAATGGACCAACTACTGAACCTCGTTAGGCCCCAATCTGCCCTAATCTCCTCATACCTTTTCACTGTGATCAAGCTGAATTTCAAAGGGGTAGTCCTCGAGTTTCTCTTTAACCTCTTTCGTGAATTGTTGCCATAGTTCTGTGGTCGGCTCTCGAACATGAATGCTCAGAATTCCCCTGAACGCCAGCGCAGCCTCGGCATCTCTGCCGTCATTACCCATGAAGGTGTTGTTTCCAATGGCGGCAGAAGGCAACAGATTGACGGTCAGGAAAGCATAGTCTCCATTGAGCATATCCAGATCATGAGCGAACAGCATTAGAGCTCTTATATCGCCTCCGTAACACAGCATTATAAAGACTATGGCAGAGTAAAATACATCATGATGGCTTTTACGACTAACGGTTAACATTTTGGCCATTTGCAGCACACGATTAACTACCTTTATTTGTGATTAAAAGGAAATATTTTACGGTTAACTTAGCTCATGGCTAACAGTGAAAATTTGTTTGTCCCACTGAGGCCCTTTTCAATGTCAGAAACTGGGAAAGCTTGTTCCATGCGCCGATGCTGTTGCTTCTTATGGTTCTTAATGGTTCCATCTATCGTAGTTAATTATCTTTTAATTAATCATGTTATTTATGTGCTAACGCTATGTGCTATCTTATGCAACATTAGCTGGGGCCAGTTTTCCTACTCTTTCCATTTTCTTTTTTTTAAATTTGTTTTTGTTGTTTTTTCCAAATTCCCGATAGTCCCCAGTTCATTTCGTCGTTCTGATTTACCCGCTGGAGTAAATTAACAG